GCCTCAGTTTCTGCTTTAGTCCCACTTCAGTCTCTGCTTCAGTCCCTGCTTCAGTCTCTGCTTCAGTCTCTGCTTTAGTCCCACTTCAGTATCTGCCTCAGTCTCTGCTTCAGTCTCTGCTTCAGTCCCTGCTTCAGTCTCTGCTTCAGTCTCTGCCTCAGTCCCACTTCAGTCTCTGCTTCAGTCTCTGCTTCAGTCTCTGCTTTAGTCTCTGCTTCAGTCTCTGCCTCAGTCTCTGCTTCAGTCTCTGCTTCAGTCTCTGCTTTAGTCTCTGCTTCAGTCTCTGCTTCAGTCTCTGCCTCAGTCTCTGCCTCAGTCTCTGCTTCAGTCTCTGCTTCAGTCTCTGCTTCAGTCTCTGCTTCAGTCTCTGCTTCAGTCTCTGCTTTAGTCTCTGCTTCAGTCTCTGCTTCAGTCTCTGCTTCAGTCTCTGCCTCAGTCTCTGCCTCAGTCTCTGCTTCAGTCTCTGCTTCAGTCTCTGCTTCAGTCTCTGCTTCAGTCTCTGCTTTAGTCTCTGCCTCAGTCTCTGCTTCAGTCTCTGCTTCAGTCTCTGCTTCAGTCTCTGCTTCAGTCTCTGCTTCAGTCTCTGCTTTAGTCTCTGCTTCAGTCTCTGCCTCAGTCTCTGCTTCAGTCTCTGCTTCAGTCTCTGCTTCAGTCTCTGCTTCAGTCTCTGCTTCAGTCTCTGCTTTAGTCTCTGCTTCAGTCTCTGCCTCAGTCTCTGCTTCAGTCTCTTCTTCAGTCTCTGCTTCAGTCTCTGCTTCAGTCTCTGCTTCAGTCTCTGCCTCAGTCTCTGCTTCAGTCTCTGCTTCAGTCTCTGCTTCAGTCTCTGCTTCAGTCTCTGCTTCAGTCTCTGCTTCAGTCTCTGCTTCAGTCTCTGCTTCAGTCCCTGCCTCAGTCCCGCTTCAGTCTGTTCCCGTCTCCCAGGCCTCAGGTAAACAACAGTATAATCTTCTTCTGACACAGTTTCTCTTCTCGCTCTCGGCTCCAGTGGAAGAAGAAGACGTCTCTTATCTCTGAACACAGCTCTGCACCGAAAACACCCCCATCTAAGCACCGGGTAACTCACCGCGAGGAGGTCCCACCCAAAAACTACTGGTTCCACAACATGTGCCGTTAATGAATACAGCAGGACTAGAACAGATCTAAAGCAGGACTAGAACAGGTCTAAAGCAGGACTAGAACAGGTCTAAAGCAGGACTAGAACAGGTCTACAGCAGGTCTAGAACAGGTCTAAAACAGGACTAGAACAGGTCTAAAACAGGACTAGAACAGGTCTACAGCAGGTCTAAAAGAGGTCTAGAACAGGTCTACAGCAGGTCTAGAACAGGTCTAAAACAGGACTAGAACAGGTCTACAGCAGGTCTAAAAGAGGTCTAGAACAGGTCTACAGCAGGTCTAGAACAGGTCTAAAACAGGACTAGAACAGGTCTACAGCAGGACTAGAACAGGTCTAAAACAGGACTAGAACAGGTCTACAGCAGGTCTAGAACAGGTCTAAAACAGGACTAGAACAGGTCTAAAACAGGACTAGAACAGGTCTACAGCAGGACTAGAACAGGTCTAAAACAGGGACTAAGGCAGGACTTTCTCGGTCTGATTGCCGCAGCTGAGTTTTCACAGCACAAATTGCCTTCAGAACTCTCACCAATGCCAACACCAATGCTAAAGCTAACCTGCTAATCAGCTGAGCGTTAAAATCACTTCTGGAGACTTTGTGATGAATAAAACATGTGTAGCAGAGGTCGTGACTCCAATTATCCATCTCTCTGTGTCCTCACTCCACCAGGCAAAGTGTGCTAGCTGTGGGTGTGTTAGCCGCTAAGCTAACGCGGTTCCCTGAGGAGAGATAATGAGCCCTCTGACAGTTTAATGGAAAAAACATCATTGATAATTTAAACAGGTCCGAGAGAAGGGGATTTAACTGGAGTTCAGAGAGTCAGGAAATATGTACAGAAATAGCTGTGTGTGGAAACTGCCGTGAAGAGTTTCAAAGTCACTTTGAAACATCCTGAGGCTAATGCTAACTGTGATGCTAACTCACGAATGAAGTTTGGTTCCAACTCCCTTTGGATCCTCATGACCAATTGATTTATGAAAAAAAAGTTGTACGCATGTTCAGTTTTAAACAAGGCATGTTGATTTTATACATTCTAATTTAATAATTTGAAAGGCTAAATGTATGTCTATTTGTCATTTTGGGTTTAATCTGTGGTTTATGGCTCACTGTGATCCTGGCGTTTATACTGTGATATTGTCTTTGTTAATCCAGATATAAACCGTATAAAGTCTGACCAATCCAATGCCTTTTTTCACGAGATTAAAAGCCAGCTAGCCCTTGTCGTGGCGCAAAGCTAACGGCGTCAGAGCCAAGGCCCATATATGGACATTAGATAAAGAGCAGACCACCCTCGCTCAGCCAATCAGCTCTCAGCGTCTCTGATCTCTACACTCGGTGATAAACCCTGTCTTAGAATCAGACAAAAAAAAAGAGTTTATCAAATGTGTTTATTTTCCACAAAAACATCAGCTTGTAAATCTACATCAAGTATTCACAAAGACAGAGAAGCCCCTTTAACAAGAGTAAAATTGACCTCTTGGAATATAAAAACAGTATGTCGACAGTATTGACAACAGTATGACAACAGTATGGCAACAGTACGACCACAGCATGACGACAGTACGGCGACAGTATGACGACAGTATGGCAACAGTATGGCAACAGTATGGCGACAGTATGGCAACAGTATGGCAACAGTATGGCAACAGTATGGCAACAGTATGGCAACAGTATGGCGACAGTATGGCGACAGTATGGCGACAGTATGACCACAGTATGACCGCAGTATGGCGACAGTATGGCGACAGTATGACCACAGTATGACCGCAGTATGACGACAGTATGGTGACAGTATGGCAACAGTATGACGAAAGTATGATGAAAGTATGGCGACAGTATGACCGCAGTATGGCGACAGTATGGCGACAGTATGACCGCAGTATGGCGACAGTATGACGACAGTATGACGACAGTATGACGACAGTATGACAACAGTATGGCGACAGTATGGCGACAGTATGGCGACAGTATGACGACAGTATGACGACAGTATGGCGACAGTATGGCGACAGTATGGCGACAGTATGGCGACAGTATGCCGACAGTATGACGACAGTATGGCGACAGTATGACGACAGTATGGCGACAGTATGATGACAGTATGACAACAGTATGGCGACAGTATGGCGACAGTATGGCGACAGTATGACAACAGTATGGCGACAGTATGGCGACAGTATGGCGACAGTATGGCGACAGTATGATGACAGTATGGCGACAGTATGGCGACAGTATGGCGACAGTATGACAACAGTATGGCGACAGTATGGCGACAGTATGGCGACAGTATGACAACAGTATGACAACAGTATGATGACAGTATGACAACAGTATGGCGACAGTATGGCGACAGTATGACAACAGTATGGCGACAGTATGACGACAGTATGGCGACAGTATGACGACAGTATGGCGACAGTATGGCGACAGTATGGCAACAGTATGACGCAGTAACACATTAAAACCCTACTTCACAAGAAAAATGCGACCTCTGAAAGTCTGATGTTTGGAAACTCGGGCTGAAACTCCCAGAGAGGGATGTGTTTTGAATCACTGATGGTTTTACTTTAATTTGACTTTAAAATCAACACATTTAAGACAAATCTAAAATAATAATTAGTGAATTCATGGCAAATATCATTTTTATAAATATCTAAGATTGTTTTTGTAAAAGTACTTTTTATCAGGTTTCTCTGACCACAGCAGTGTGTTCGTGTGTGTCTGTGTGTGCGTATGTGTGTGCATCTGTGTGTGTGTGTACCTGTGCGTCTGTGTGTGTGTGTGCATCTGTGTGTGTGTGTGTGGCTGCATCTGTGTGTGTGCGCGTATGTGTGGGTGTGTGCATCTGTGTGTGTGTGGGTGTGTGCATCTGTGTACGTGTGTGTGTCTGTCGTAGTCTGTGAGTGTGCGCCCTCTAACATTTTGGGAAGTCGTAAAGGTGAGGCATATATCTCTAAGTTTCTGAGATCCCCAAAATGCTAACACTCCGGTGACGCTAACACCCTGGTGACGCTAACACCCTGGTGACGCTAACACTCTGGTGACGCTAACACACTCTGGTGACGCTAACACTCCGGTGACGCTAACACTCCGGTGACGCTAACACACTCCGGTGACGCTAACACACTCCGGTGACGCTAACACTCTGGTGACGCTAACACACTCTGGTGACGCTAACACTCCGGTGACGCTAACACTCCGGTGACGCTAACACACTCCGGTGACGCTAACACACTCCGGTGACGCTAACACACTCCGGTGACGCTAACACACTCCGGTGACGCTAACACTCCGGTGACGCTAACACTCCGGTGACGCTAACACTCCGGTGACGCTAACACTCTGGTGACGCTAACACTCCGGTGACGCTAACACTCCGGTGACGCTAACACTCCGGTGACGCTAACACTCCGGTGACGCTAACACTCCGGTGACGCTAACACTCTGGTGGTGCTAACACCCTGATGCTAACACCCTGATGCTAACACCCTGATGCTAACACTCTGATGCTAACACTCTGATGCTAACACCCTGATGCTAACACTCTGATGCTAACACTCTGATAGCCTGTACAGTAGAATACAGTGTCTACTTAAGAAATGACCTCACATTCTGCGACAATGTTCTGCAGGTTCTAAAGAACTGAATTAACACAAAGGTGAATATTTACTCTTTAACTCGTCTCCAAAAGGACGATATGCAAACGCAGACTTCCACATGAAAACACGTCCATGGCTTTTGTTTGTGTGCGAGATCCTTGCACTAACCACGGCTAAGTTCACCCAAAATGGCTTCTTCCAGCACATGGCGGCCATGTTTAGTTTTCCACAACCTCAAACACAGCTTCTGATTTTGTTGCTTTTGCGAGTCGTTCCCTGACGTCGTTTCAGCCGCACGAAATCACGGTGAAGCGTTTAGAAATGCACGACATGTTGTGGAGCACGATCCCGAGCAGGAAAAGCAACACACAGGCGACCAAGACGACCGTGCAGACGCCGGACCAGGCCGACCCTTTGCCCGCCGCCACCATGACCGCGCCCCTGTGCTCCGAATCCCCCAGACTCAGGCTCTCCATGGCGTCGTCCGGGATCGCCACCACCGCCATCGCCTTCTGATGCTCCACAAACCGGCAGTCCCCCGGTAAGCCCAGGCCGCGGTCCTTCACCCCGGGCAGCGGCAGCATGTAGCAGCCGTGGCTCGGGAGGCGGATGAAGACTGGAGAGTGTTCGTGAGGGACCGCGATGATCGCCACGATGTCTGGGTCGTCGGGTAAGTGCGAGATGGACCGACCGGGCGGTAGTTTGGTGACGCTGCGGCACCACGGGCAGCGGATTTCTTTGTGTGCGCTTCGCATCTGACCGAGGCACACGGAGCACAGCGTGTGGCGACACGACAGGAGCTTTGGCCGCCGCCGCGGGCTGAAGTAGTTAAAACAGATCTGGCACTCCAGAGACGAGTCCTGAGAGAGGGTCTCCATCTCAGAGGGACCAGTGAGAGACCAGAGGGGGACCAGAGGGACCAGAGGGGGACCAGAGGGGGACCAGTGAGAGACCAGAGGGGGACCAGAGAGGGACCAGTGAGAGACCAGAGGGGGACCAGAGGGGGACCAGTGAGAGACCAGAGGGGGACCAGAGAGGGACCAGTGAGAGACCAGAGGGGGACCAGAGAGGGACCAGAGGGGGACCAGAGGGGGACCAGAGGGGGACCAGTGAGAGACCAGAGAGGGACCAGTGAGAGACCAGAGGGGGACCAGAGGGGGACCAGTGAGAGACCAGAGGGGGACCAGAGAGGGACCAGTGAGAGACCAGAGGGGGACCAGAGGGGGACCAGTGAGAGACCAGAGGGGGACCAGAGGGGGACCAGTGAGAGACCAGAGGGGGACCAGAGGGGGACCAGTGAGAGACCAGAGGGGGACCAGAGAGGGACCAGAGGGGGACCAGAGGGACCAGAGAGGGACCAGAGAGGGACCAGAATCCTTATCCAAACAGAGCGGTGACGTCACATAGTCCACGTCTGAAAGAAAACACAAGCACAAAGTTCATAAGAAAAGTCTCAAATCTCAAAATCCATTAAAAAGAAAAACAATGAAGTCAATTTAAAAGTCTAATCAGGGACGGACTAAACCGGAACTGAAACAGGACTACATTCAGGGCTATTTCCAGAAGAGAAAAAGAGCGGACCGCTGTCACTCAGCCAATAAGCTCTCAGCCCAAAGAGTCAGATAGTGACTCACAGGGATCTTTCTGACAAATGCACACAAAGAAAAGGGTTGGATGCCGGGTTGTTTTGACCCACCATCCTGTGTCTCTTAGTCTGGGGGCACAGTGGGGTTGTCTTGCACAGCTTTTCCAATGTGGTTTTACTGCAAATGGCAAATTAATTATTGTTTCTTGTTTCTATAAAAATTATGGTTATGAATCACTTGTCGTCTTGGAAACGGCCCTAAAGCTGGAAGTCTTCGGTCTGGTTCAATGAGGAGAGTCCCTGCATTAACAACACTTTACACACACAGGCTGAATGATAACGAGTCCAGAGCGTGTGGGTTCTATTCCCCAAACGAGCCAGGCGCTTGCTCCAAGGTCACTCCAGTGTTCGGACCACAGTCTCCAAACAAGAGAGAGACCAGAGAAAGACCAGAGAGAGACCAGAGAAAGACCAGAGAGGGACCGGAGAGGGACCAGAGAGGGACCAGAGAGGGACCAGAGAGGGACCAGAGAGGGACCAGAGAGGGACCAGAGAGGGACCAGAGAGGGACCAGAGAGGGACCAGAGAGGGACCAGAGAGGGACCAGAGAGGGACCAGAGAGGGACCAGAGAGGGACCAGAGAGGGACCAGAGAGGGACCAGAGAGGGACCAGAGAGGGACCAGAGAGAGACCAGAGAGAGACCAGAGAGAGACCAGAGAGGGACCAGAGAGAGACCAGAGAGGGACCAGAGAGAGACCAGAGAGAGATCAGAGAGAGACCGGAGAGAGATCGGAGAGAGACCAGAGAGAGACCAGAGAGAGACCAGAGAGGGACCAGAGAGAGACCAGAGAGGGACCAGAGAGAGACCAGAGAGGGACCAGAGAGGGACCAGAGAGGGACCAGAGAGGGACCAGAGAGGGACCAGAGAGGGACCCAGAGAGGGACCAGAGAGGGACCAGAGAGAGACCAGAGAGAGACCAGAGAGAGACCAGAGAGGGACCAGAGAGAGACCGGAGAGAGACCGGAGAGAGACCGGAGAGAGACCGGAGAGAGATCTGAGAGAGACCGGAGAGAGATCGGAGAGAGACCGGAGAGGGACCAGAGAGAGACCAGAGAGGGACCAGAGAGAGACCAGAGAGGGACCAGAGAGGGACCAGAGAGGGACCAGAGAGGGACCAGAGAGGGACCAGAGAGGGACCAGAGAGAGACCAGAGAGAGACCAGAGAGAGAGACCAGAGAGGGACCAGAGAGAGACCAGAGAGGGACCAGAGAGAGACCAAAAAGACAAGAGAGAGAGTATCTAGTTTCTCCCTGCTCTCCCTCTCTGGTCTCTCTCTCTCTCTCTCTGGGCTCACTTTGGTCTCTCCCTGCTCTCTCTCTCTCTCTCTCCCTGGTCTCTCTCTCAGGTCTGGATCTGGTCTGGACTTTAACTGGTATGAAAACATGACACACCTCACATTCCAACATTTACAGCTCTGTTTGTGCTGAAGGACGAGATCACAATGAGCCCGAGGGGAATGACACGAGTCGTGAGCAGTGGGACGAGAGAAACAGGCTCCAAGAGAGAAACAGGCTCCAAGAGAGAAACATCTTCTTAACGCACAAACTCGCTATTTTTGCAGTGTTGTTTTTTTCTTCAGTCTTTTCAAAGATCTCATCCTGTTCATGAGTTCATACATTTGTGATAAATATGTTTGGAAATTACTACTGAGTCCTGCGGCCACAGCGAAGAAAGTGAGATGAGGGGGTCTCTCTCTCTCTGGTCTCTCGGTCTCTCTCTCTCTGGTATCTCTCTAGTCTCTCTCTAGTCTCTCACTCCCAAAACGCTAGCTTCAAAAGAATGATGAAGTATGTTTGTGTTTAAGCCTGAATGTGTGTGGACTGGACCAGGTGTGTTTCAGTCACTCTAGTGCATTAGGACCAGGTGTGTTTCAGTCCCTCTGGTGCATTAGGACCAGGTGTGTTTCAGTCCCTCTGGTGCATTAGGACCAGGTGTGTTTCAGTCCCTCTGGTGCATTAGGACCAGGTGTGTTTCAGTCCCTCTGGTGCATTAGGACCAGGTGTGTTTCAGTCCCTCTGGTGCATTAGGACCAGGTGTGTTTCAGTCCCTCTGGTGCATTAGGACCAGGTGTGTTTCAGTCCCTCTGGTGCATTAGGACCAGGTGAGCTGCTGTCAGGCGCTGGTCAAACGCCGCTGCTTCAGACTCTCTCTTGTTTTGGTTTCTCGCCTCCACATTCTTCAAACATTTGAAACGACTTCTGACCACGATCTAAGGTTTCTCTTGTCTTTGAACCACAACAGAGAGAGACCAGAGAGAGAGACCAGTGGGAGAGACCAGAGAAGAGAGAGATCAGTGAGAGACCAGAGAGAGAGAGACCAGAGAGAGAGACCAGAGAGAGACTGACATGAAAGCCAGTGTAAATGCTCTGACAATAATAAAGCATAATATTCTCTCTTCATGGTGTGAACCTGCGATGTCCCACTTTTCTCTCTCTATAATTCATCATAGGTTCGAGTCCCGTTAGCTCGGGCTTTGCTAGCGCTGCACTTTCACAAATATCCTCCTTATATTTATACAAAGGAAAAGACCTGATTTTACTGCTGCTATTTTTAGTTCTGCAGGAAACGGGACGACACAGAGTTTGGGATTCAAGGACATGAAGCAAAACAGACTTTATAATCTTTTCAGACCTGGAGCCGTTTTTACCCTCTTCCACGCTAATGTCGCTGGTTTATTAGCACAATCCATGAAGCGCATTTTAGGAGTGTGTGACAAAGTTTTAGCCTTAATGTGGAAGAGGCCGGTGTGAACATAAGGTGGAGCCAATTTCCTTATATGGGCAGAGAGAGAGACCAGAGTAAGACCAGAGAGACCAAAGAGAGACCAGTGAGAGAGACCAGAGAGAGACCAAAGAGAGACCAGTGAGAGAGACCAGAGTAAGACCAGAGAGAGACCAGAGAGAGACCAAAGAGAGACCAGTGAGAGAGACCAGAGTAAGACCAGAGAGAGACAAGAGAGAGACAAGAGAGAGACCAGAGAGAGACAAGAGAGAGACAAGAGAGAGACCAGAGAGAGACCAGAGAGAGACCAGAGAGAGACAAGAGAGAGACCAGAGAGAGACCAGAGAGAGACCAGAGAGAGGCAAAGGAGAGACCAAAGAGAGAGAGACCAGAGAGAGGCAAAGGAGAGACCAAAGAGAGACCAGTGAGGAACCGAAACAAATCAATGAAATATGTGCAGTTGGACAGTGTAGGACCAAAATGAGGGCGTGGCCTATGAAACACACAGAGTAGAGTAGAATGCACTCCAGATATGAATTTTTGTACTCTAAATAATATATATATATATATATATATATATATATATATATATATATAAAAAAAAAAAATAATATATATATATATATATAATATATATAAAAATATATATATATGTATTTATTTTTACCAAACAGACATCAGAGCACTACTGTACTTTATCGTAATTGTTCGTTTTCTTTATTTTTTCATTCATGCAGATCTTTGTAGCACTGTATCCTACAGCAACTTTCCCTTGGGACAATAAAGTTTATCTTATCTTAGAATAGGCCAGAGTAGGGTAGGGTAGAGTTGGGTAGAATAGGGTAGGGTAGAGTAGAGCATGACGAAGTAAAAGTGTGGAAACAGGTCTTTGGTGATACATTTTCTTCGTAGGTTTCCTCCGGGTGCTCCGGTTTCCCCTCCCACTAAACATGTACAATAGGTCTAACAGCGCCCCCTGCAGGCGACTGCTCCATCTCTGTGTGAAGAGAGACTAATGCAACAATTGTAACACGCTTTGACTCTGGTCTGTGTAAGGTGCCATATAAATAAACATACATCTGTTGAGGTTTAGACCTGGTTTAGTCCTGGTTTAGTCCAGGTTAAGCGCTGGTCCTCTTCACTGTAAACTAAAACTGTTTGAGATCCACTGAGCTTTGAAACAAACCAGGGTTTAACTGTAGCCTTATATATAATAACATTATATTACTTATTAAATTATGTGTTTTTACAGTATTTCATGTCAATAGAGTAGGATTGTAAAGCTGCAGCTCATGCATTTCTTCTTCCCTCAGACATTTCATCACATGTTTTTGTCTCAGGTTAGACTGTTTACATCCATCGCAGAGGGACAAAGGAACGGCTCATGTTTCAGTTTAACCAAAAAAAACATAAGAACAGACGCAGAAAAACTACAGAAATCCCTCAGACACAGAGCGCTCACCTCCAGCCCCAGTGTGCTGTCCCCGGGAGAGGCTCCACAGACCGTCCGCTCCAGGAGAGAGGAGACCGGGGTCGCTGATGCTCCTCACCGCGGTAGATCACGCCCTTCTCCCGGCGGCTGCGGCTGACCGTGCTGCTGGAGCTGGATGCACTCAGAGAACCCTGCGTCCTCCCGGTGACTGAGCCGTGTGCGCGGACTGGAGGGGCGGGAGGGGCGGGAGGAGGGCGGGAGGAGGGACTCACCTCACGGGAACCGACCAGAGCTGCAGCAGCTCGGTACAACACGGTAATACTATGTTATATCGGTGCACAATGTTAAATAGACTGTCTACAGAAGCCCAATAGGGAAGTGCTCATGGACGAAGTTTTGCTCCAACTCTTTCTGGCTCCTATTGGCTTACATTAGTAAACTCCTCCCACTCAGTAACTGTCACATTCACCATTTAGGGCTTAAATCTGTTTTTATCTCTGAGCCTGGTGTTTATATGTGATGAGCCATATAAGGACTGACCAATCAGACGCCTTCTGGGGGAGAGACCACAGAGAGACCAGAGAGAGATCAGAGAGGGACCAGAGACCAGAGAGATACCAGAGAGACCACAGACCACAGAGAGACTAGAGAAATCAGAGAAAGACCAGAGAGACCAAAGAGAGACCTCAGAGACCACAGAGAGACCAGAGCGAGACCAGAGAAAAGGCAAATCAAAACAATGGCACACGGACAGAGGGTCAGCACTTGATCATAAACGGAATCGGGACGGAAGCGGAAGTAAATATATCAAACTACATATTTATGCCTAAACTTAACCAGCCATTACCATAAAATAACCCCAACCCACCCTTAACCCTAACCTTAACCATCTTAATCAGACGCCTAAAACTTAACCAGTCACCACTTAAAGCTGCACTAACTGACTTTGGGATTTTGAAGCCGGGGACTCGCTGGCCTCGCTCTTTCTGCTCCCCTCCCCGCACCCACGAAGCTATCTCCCCCCACACACACCCACTGTGTACCTACACAACAAAAAAGCAATGATGTGACTATGCTGCAGACAATTCTTGAGCAAAAACAAATGGAACTTGAAACCTTCGATATAACTGAGAGCACATTTGATCTTTCTGATATAGACCCCGATATAAATTGTCTTTCTTCTGTTGTTGATAATTGTAATTATTTTAGTCAAGATCATTTCAACAAAAGTATAAGCTGCTCAGGGAAACTTTCAATAATACATTTCAATAGCAGGAGCTTGTATTCAAATTTTAGCTCAATTAAAGAGTATTTACTTCAATTCAATTGCACATTCAGTATTATTGCTGTTTCAGAAACATGGTTTAGTAATGAACGCGACATACAGTTCAGTCTGGATGGATATGAGCTTAATTATATGAACAGAGAAAATAAAACTGGAGGTGGGGTTGCTCTTTTCATACACAAATCATTAACTTATAAATGTCTCACCAATATGTCTTTCGTTATAGATGATATTATGGAATGTGTATCAATTGAAATTTGTAACGTAAAGCAGAAAAATTGTGTTGTAAGTTGTGTGTATCGGTCACCTGCTTCAAGTATTGAATCTTTTACTGGAATTATGGAAGAAAAGTTTTCATCCGTAAATCATAAACGATTATTTATCTGCGGTGACATCAACATTGACCTTCTGAATCCATCTAAGCTGAAAACAATTGATGACTTTACAGACACAATGTACAGTTTGTCACTCTTTCCCACTATAACTAAACCGAGTAGAATAACATCACATAGTGCAACTCTAATTGATAATATTTTCACTAATTATATTGAGACCCCTGTGATTAGTGGTCTATTATTGTGTGATGTTACTGATCACTTGCCCGTTTTTACTCTGTGCGACTGTAAGCCTAATAAAATTAAAGATGATAGGCTGGTGACATACAAGAGGATTAGATCAGATGTAGCCATTGACGCTTTTAACAACAGTCTGAAAGTCCAGGACTGGAGCTCAGTCATGTTGGAATCAAATGTTGATCAAGCCTATGACAATTTCTTGAACACATTTGTCTCACTTTATGATAAGCACTGTCCTCTGAAGTCATACAGTATAAGGAAGAAAGCAATGAAAAGTCCATGGCTTACAAAAGGAATACTGAATGCATGCAAAAAGAAGCAAAATCTCTATAAATTGTTTGTTAAATTAAAAACTAAAGATGCTGAGCTAAGATATAAGACTTACAAAAATAAATTGACTGACATTATTAGAAATTCGCGAAAATTATATTTTATTAATACTTTATATGATAATAAAAATAATATGAAAAAACGTGGGAGATACTGAATGGTATTATCAAACAGAGTTCAACAAAAGTAGAGTACCCCAATTATTTTGAAAATATTAACGGTGATAAATACAACACGAAGAATATTGTAAATAACTTCAACCATTTTTTTGTGAATATTGGCCCAGAGCTCTCTGCAGAGATTCCTATCCAATCTAATTGCCAATGTAATATGGTAATTAATTCAAGCTCAATGTTTCTCTTAGCAACCACTGAAAAAGAAGTCAAAGAAGTAATCCTGAGTTGCAAGAGTAAATATTCCACTGACTGTCATGGTATTGATATGTCACTAGTAAAGAGAATTGTTGATAATATTATAGTGCCACTCACCCATGTTTGCAACTTGTCCTTCCAGTCTGGCAGTGTGCCAAGTAAAATGAAAATGGCAAAAGTGATACCACTGTTTAAGAATGGAAATAAACATTTATTTACCAACTACAGACCCATTAGTTTGCTCCCACAGTTCTCCAAGATTTTGGAAAAATTATTCAGTTCACGACTTGAAAACTTTATCAACAAACATCAGTTAATAAATGATAGCCAATATGGCTTTAGGTCCAAAAGAACCACTTCAATGGCCATAATGGAGGCAGTAGAGGAGATTACTAATGCACTGGACAAAAATATGCACACGGTTGGAATTTTTATCGATTTTAAAAAGGCTTTCGACACAATCAATCATTCAATTCTCTCAAGTAAACTTGAAAAATATGGAAGCAGGGTAGCAGGGAAGTGGATAAAAAGTTACCTGACTGGAAGAGCTCAGTATGTTAAGATGGGTGAATATACTTCAGACCAACTGAGTATTACTTGTGGTGTCCCCCAGGGCTCAGTTTTGGGTCCAATGCTGTTCAATCTTTATATAAATGACATATTTAATGTATCAAAAATATTGAAACTAATTCTCTTTGCTGATGACACTAATATTTTCTATTGCAACTCAAATTATAACACACTTGTAAATATTGTAAATATGGAAATGGTAAAATTAAAGAAATGGATGGATACAAATAAATTACTATTAAATCTAAATAAAACTAAAGTAATGACATTTGGGAATTTTAATAGTAATCCTGAATTGCATATTATCATTGACGGTGTACAAATTGAAAATGTAGATGAGAATAAATTTTTAGGTGTAACTATGGACAGCAAATTATCTTGGAAAGCCCACATCAGGCACATAAAAACAAAAATATCCAAGAGCCTTTCAATAATGAACAAAGCTAAGCAATATATTGACCACAATGCTCTGCGTATTTTATATTGTTCACTGATTCTCCCCTATTTATCATATTGTGTGGAAATATGGGGTAATAACTACAAATGTGCCATAAATCCATTGTTTTTACTGCAAAAAAGGGCTGTCCGTATCATTCATAAGGTCAGCTTTTTGGAACACACGCATGATCTTTTTATTCGGTCCAAACTACTGAAATTCCACGAACTTGTAAAATACTACACAGTAATCCTACTATTTAAAGCATTTAATAATATACTTCCTAAAAATGTACAAAAATTCTTTTCTCTTAAAGAGAATGCATATAATTTGAGAGGAAATGGAAACTTTATTCTACCAAAAGCTCAGACGACTCGTAAAAGTTTTTGTGTAACTGTATGTGGGGTAAAATTGTGGAATTCTCTGGATTTACAGCAGAAGCTATGCCTAAATATTCACAAATTTAAACTCTTATACAAAAGTGCAGTGTGGTTAGAATACAGAGTTAGTGGAATACTTAGATAGTTTGTTGTATTGCAGTTGTCCGTATCAGTTCTTGTGTTGTTTTTGATGTTTCTTACTTTCGTTGTTTCTGCTCCATCGCTGCTGCTCTTGTGTTACTGTTGTTTGTGCTTCTGTCCTTACCATCGCTGGTATGTACATTTGTGTTACTGTTGTTCGTGCCTCTATCCTTACCATCGCTGGTACGTACATTTGTGTCACTATTGTTTGTGTCTCTGTCCTTACCATCGCTGGTATGTACATTTGCTGAAAATGTCTAAACTGTTGTATCATTTGCATCCTGTCTATTCTATAAGCTATGTTTGATCGTAAACGAAAATGATATTGCACTTAGTTTTGTGTTCTGGAGTGTAGTAGTATTTTACAAAAGTGTTTAAGTTATGAAAATTTGATTTTTGTTGCATTGAGAATTTTTTATTTTTATTTTTTATTTTTTTCTCTTTTTTCTCCTTTCCTTTTATGGACTTTGAAGTGGAAGTTAAGTTAAATAATGTAACGTAGCTATGGACAATAGGGGTGGGATTCAATAAGTTTTCTTCTTCCCACTCCTTTTCGAGCCAAATCCTTTCTATTTCCTGTACTCAAGTACAGCTGTTCTACATTTGTTATTTTATTTTTTTATGTGATCTGCTCGAAATGAATAAATAACTAACTAACTAACTGTTGGGACGGAGCTAGTGTCTCGCAATATGGATAATACATGGATATGGATTTACATGTGGATGGCGTGACCATAGAACGATAGAACCGGGAAGCGCGGAGGAACGGGACTTTCTTTTGGATGGCTGTCTCGCTGTGTAAGCAGTAACCGTGACGAAGACACACGAAGCTTCAGGTTAGCTCCTCGGCTTGTTGTGCTAACTCAGCCGTCTATGCTAACGGACCTGTAGATTTCTCACGAAAGTGGGGGCCAGTGGTCCGCTGTGATTGGTCACAATCTGCGACCCGAAACACATTCTCTTCCTTGTTTCATCAAAACTCGATCTAAAATATAATGTCACGCCAGCACAAACCTGCGCTACTTTTTCTTCAAAAGGACATATATCCCAATGCACTACATGGACATGGATAGCACTTTTGTAATGAATACAAAAATAAAGTCAGTTAGTGCAGCTTTAAGGACTTACTAGTCTAAAACTAATTCGAAAGTATGATCGTTACTTCCGGTTTCGTCCCGATTCCGTATATGATCTAGTGCTGATCACGGACAGAGGGGCCGCTTCATCACGTGATCAAAATGAGGGTGTGGCCTATTTCCTCCAAACACAAACATCCCCATGGCCTCCTCAGCAGGATCTTGTTTCCGTGGTTACAGGTTTACATGAGTCTGTTCTATATCAATAAATTGGACTTCACTTCAAAGGAGGAGGAACCTGTTTGTCGTGTTGGATTCTCACTCGCCGAGAATTGTGGGTAATGGCCTCAAACACTCTCTCTCGACATAGTATGTAGAACAGGAAATATCAGATATAGATCAGTAAAACGCCCACACTGCCATCTGGTGGTGGAAGTGCATTAAATGAGACATTAAAGGGTCTGGGGCAGCGGTTAGCCCTTGTGCCTCACAGCAAGAAGGTTCAATCCCAGGTGTCGTGTGTGAGATAACAGGTCTTTGTGGATGGATTCAAAAACAATCAGGTTTAATAAAGTAGTGTTTATTCTTTGGTCATAAATAGTGAAAATTGTGAGTTTGTACAAAGTGAAAGTGAAATAAATTAAACATTTAAAGTGTTTTTGTTAAAAAGTGACGAGTCGTGCTCAGTGTAGAATCAGCAGCGAGTGTCTCTCTGCTGAATCCCTGCAACAGGAGAGCACACATCAGGACGAGAGAGACCACAGACCAGAGAGAGACCAGAGAGAGAGAGACCAGAGAGAGAGAAAGACCAGGGAGAGAGAGAGAGAGAGACCAGGGAGAGAGAGAGAGAGACCAGAGCGAGACCAGGTGTGCTTACCATGTGACAGTGAGTTCTTGTGAAGGTTCTGTGCTCGAATTACATCATTTTTCCCGTGGTCAGACTTCAGAGAGCGGGGTTTCTCTGTGGGACACAAGGACTTTAAAGGAGAGCAGAGAGAGACCAGAGAGAGAGAGACCAGAGAGGGAGAGACCAGAGAGAGAGAGACCAGAGAGGGAGAGACCAGAGAGAGAGAGACCAGAGAGAGAGAGACCAGAGAGGGAGAGACCAGAGAGAGAGAGACCAGAGAGGGAGAGACCAGAGAGAGAGAGACCAGAGAGAGAGAGACCAGCGAGTCTGGTTCCATGGTACATGACTCTCACCCGTTTGCCAGCGTGGCGGCGGACACGGTGGTTGCCGGTTGTTCTCGTCCGCCTCCCGAATGGCGTCGCCGTGGTGATAGCGATGGCGCTCTCCGCAGCCACACCCCCTCCTTTTGGAAAACCCTTCCTCTGAGTTGTGTTTGGACTCTCTTCTCTTCCGTCTGCAGCTGCTCTCACTCAGCTCTCCCTCCATCTGAACATCTGGACAGCAGCCTTTTCCACCAAACCTACAGGAAGGATTAAAGCTGGGGTCCGTAACTTTCAAACCAAAAAACTCATGTCAACCCATGACTGGTTCGTGGGTTTAAAACAATAGTTTATCATATTTCATATCAGCTTTAGCTCAACTTTTTCAGACAGAAAAGTGACAGGACCACCCTCTCTCAGCCAATCAGCTCTCAGCCAATCAGCTCTCAGCCCAAAGAGTCAAATATTGTTTGGTCTCTCCCTTGTTTGATACTGTATTGAACAGTATCAAACTGTTCCAGAGTGAGAATAGGGACCAGAGTGAGACCATAGGGACCAGAGTGATACCAAACACTCACTGACCTCTTGCTGGTGAAGCCTGTACAAGCGACACACGTCTGATCGTTCCACAGTTGGAAAGGCGCCGCTTTGGGTCTTGAATCTTTGTCTGGACCGTGGTACGCTCTCCGCTTGTTGAAACACCGTGTGCAGAGCCTCGGCTTCTTCTCGTAGGAAACCGCCAGGTTCTCATTGTAGCTGCGGCTGACGCAGCACTCGTTGTCTGAGGCGCTCCTTCGCTCCGCTCTGGGCTCGTTCCGCTCCTTTGGCTTCCTGACGGCGGCGCTCTGGAGATCCGGAACGTTCAGGCTCTTGCTCCAAAGCGGTTTCACGGACTTCTGAGGAGTCGAGGGAATCTTACCGTAGCTTTGGAAGTCGGCGAGCCACGACGGCAGATACGCCGGCAACGACTCAAACGAAGTCTCGTGATGGTCGCTCGGTTTTCCCACAGAATCGTCCGACAGAAGATACGCAGAACATCTACGGCCCACTTTACCACAAACGTTATGGCCCACTTTACCGCAGACTCTCGATGGTTTGGAGAGTTCCTTCCGCTGGATTTGGACGACAGGGTTCACAAACGTTGGGACCACACTCGCCAGGTCCTCGCTCAGCGCCGGAGGTAGATGAACGATCGGGACGCACTCATCGTGAAGAACTTCTTCTCTCGTGGTTGCCAACTCTGAAGACGGTACTTCGCCAGAAAACAACTCACTGCAAGAATCCATGAAGAAGTCTGGAGACGGCACCAGAGTCTGGTCCGGAGTCCAGATCGAGGCCTCCAGGTCCCGCAGCTCGGACAGGTATTTAGCGTTGAACGGGAGACGCACAACTTTGAGATTTTTCTCGTTGAGAATGTTTTCAACTTTGGTGTCGACAGGAGACCGGCCTGAAGGTGACGCTGCTCGCTCCACGACGCCCTCTGTCGGATTCACCAGGAGGATGTCGGGGCACGGCTGCGGCGTCTTGGTTTTGTTCTCCACGGTTTCCTCGTTGTCCGCGACCGAAGCGTTCTGAACAATTGAACTACAATGCACCACTTCCTGTGCAAACCTTCTGGACATTTCTGAGGTTTCGGGCGAGCGCAGCGCGGTCAAACCCAGCGGCGACGCACAACACTGGATGCGCACCTCTTCGGCCTCGATGACGAAGCCGCCTTTCTGCGGTGTGGCGTTAGCTGAAGTCGGGTTTTCTCTCTGAGCGGACAAAGCTGTAGAAGCGTTTCCAGAATCTCTGGAGGCCTCTGAGCGGCTGAGACCGGGTTCTGACATGGGCTCGGTCTGGACTTCGGCGCTGGTCACGTCTCGGGTTGGAGCGTTTTGTTGAAAGCGAAGCCGCCGGGCGTGGTACGCCATGGACTGATAATACTGCGGGTTTAGCATGCGCCTGTAGTCCATGAGGTGGTGGTGCGAGTGCGGCAGGACGAAACCCGGAGCCTCCAGATACGGCGCAGGGGGGAAGTGCGGCATCAGCGGCAGACCGTACCCTGAAGGAACCGAAGAACAAGAAACGGAAGGTTTTTAAAATTCTAATCTAATATCTCCGTAAACGGCTCAACAAGTGTTTGAAATGTTTAGAGCAGAGCGGCCACTTTAAGGGCCAGAGCCATTAGTGGTCATTTCTTTTTTATTTACTACTTCAGCATTAACATGTTAAAAAAACCTTTATTAATATAACAAAGACATTCTGTGTTGTCTTTTAATATCACAAAGACATTCTGTGTTTTCTTTTAGCATTTGTCGAGTATTGACTCCAAACTCTTGCATTTGATGACCAGACCAGTCAGACTTGAAGGGTCCGGGGGCTGCTAATGTCTTTAAATCAGATTTTTCAAACAGAGAAGTGAAAAAGAGACCACTCTCAGCTCTCATCCCAAAAAGTCAAATACGTTTTCAGTGTAAAGCCGGGGCCTGACTTTCGCTTTTTTCATTAATATTTTGTTCATCCCAAAATAAAGTCTTGTAATAGACCAAATAACACAGCATTAGTCTTCACATTAATAACATTTGCACACGGCCCGGTCCTCACCGTAGCCCGGGAAGCCTCCGTAGTATGGGCTGTAGTGCAGCGGCATCAGGGGGGGCCACTGCAGGTTCTGCATCGGGAGGAAGGGCGGCTGCACGTAGAAGAACGGCTTATGCTGGCCCTGGTCCCCCGGCCCTGGCAGTGCGGTCCCCCCTGGTCTGGGGCCTTGGTCCCCGGGCCTTGGCGGTGCGGTCCCCCCGGGTCTAGAGCCCTGGCTGTGTGCGTCAGTGTGGGCTGTGGCCGGTGGGGCGGTGGCGGTCCCCGGGTACATGGCAGATGCTGTAACGGAGTTCGTGAGTCTTGAGTCCGGTCCAGACTCCGCAGACACAAACCCAGCAGGAGATCATTGATGAGGACGGAGCTGCGGCCTCGTGCGAGCTATCAGGCCTCTGATTGGCTGCGGTTGGCGGGGCAGGTGAGATGCGTCACAGTAACGTCAGGTAGAACTTTTTCTCACGTGAGACTGGTGTATTTTTATATCAGGATATGCTGTGTTTTTTTTAACAGACGCAACAGTAAATACTTAGTTAAAACTATTTCAATAGAAAACCTATTAAATATAAAATTATTAAATATTCCAAAACTAAATGAATCTGAACAACACTCTCCCCTTTCATCCAAAAGCAAAACCACCGTTTTAAAAAACTCCCTTTTGTGTTTAACTTCAATTAAAAAGGATGGGTGTGATATTGTGTAATAATATAGATATATTATGTAAACACATGATTATATTTCATCACAAACGCAGTTTAAAAAAGAAAAATAGGGATAAAAGATCTTGAAATTGTCTTGATCTGAGCTCATGTCTCAGATCTCCTTTCAACAACTTAACTTTTTGTATTTATGTTATTGTTTCTTTGGGGCTGAGATTCTCAGGATGGTGAAAAGTAAAACATGAAACTATAAACGTTTATAAGTTTCCCCCAGTCTCTGATGAAATGCATCTCTTCTGTTTCTCTTTCGTCATATAATTTTTTTTTTTTTTCATTTCATTTCATTTTCAACCCCTTTATTAATCCATTTCTGGGTCGGGGGGGTGGCAATGAGAGCTGCCACCCAATGCTCATAGTACCAGTCCCTCGCTGATCCTCTGCAGGGGGCTTCAGGCAACGTGGGGTTAAGTGTCTTGCCCAAGGACACAACGACAGCAGTCATCAGTGGGAGCAGTTGGAGTAGGTCATATACATTAATAATAAATGTTGCAGTCGAACAGAGGAGACAGCAGTAACTGAAATGTATTTTATTATTGAACATTTAAATTTACACAAAAAGCAGACGTTAAATAAGTCTTGAACTGGTCCCAGCGTCACCTCAGCCCCAGTGGGTTCTTTGTGCTCAGGTCCCAGCGTCACCTCAGCCCCAGTGGGTTCTTTGTGCTCAGGTCCCAGGGTCACCTCAGCCCCAGTGGGTTCTTTGTGCTCAGGACGTGTCATCTTTAAGTTTAAACTAAAATAAGCTTCGTGTCTGTGTCTTCATCACGTGATCATTAAGTCTTCAAACAGCTGGGATCCTGCAACAACACTGGACATGGCTCCCTCTGGTGGAGGAGAGGCCACACTTCATGTTTCAATCATTACATTTACATTTTATTGTAAATATATTTGTTTAAATAATAAAATAGACAAATGTATTATTTTAATCATTGTCATGATTATAATATTATAACAGTTGGGGCCGGCACCAGCTGCAGACTCACAGTTTCAGTCCTCAGCACGGCGGGTCTCTGGGGGCCGCACCTGCGACAAATGATAGATATGTTTAAGAGACAATACAGTCCATCTTCCACTTTATCTGGCCCCGGATCATGGGGGCAGCAGAGACACCCTAACCTCCCTCTCCACAAACTTCCTGCAGCTCATCTGGGGGAATCCTGAGGTGTTCCCAGACCAGAGAGAGAATCTCTCTGGAATCTCTAAGGCTCTACTCTAAGCTCCTTAACCTATCTCTAAGGCCCCATGACTATGTGGAGCACAGAGAGAACCTGGACCTAGACCTGGAACATGGACCTTGGACTCTAGTTCTCGGAGGTTAGAAGCTATGAACCTCGGTCCCAGGGCAGCGGGTCTTCGTCCCTCGATCGCTGCAGGTTCCTCTGGAGCTCTGAAACACACATTTTAAACCTTCATCTTTCACAAAAACACTTAATAAATACAACAGTGACTTTGAACAAATCGATTTACAAATCATCGACTCCTCAAATCATCAGGCCAGAACATGCATGACGTGAAAACTAGTGACAGAATTAACTTTTACTGAACTTCTGCTCTCTGACACACTGGGCTCTCTGACTCGTTATAGTCTGTACCTAGTCTGTGGGCGGCTGTGGTCCTCCTCCTCACTGCAGCCTCCGACCTCCTGCTCGGCTCCTCTCTGCACACGCGCTCTGCAGACCACAGGTTAAACAAGAGGGAAGTGCTCATGGACAAAGTTTTGCTCCAACTCGCTATGACTCCTATTGACCTACATTTAAACCTTTCTTTGTTGGGTTTAAATCTCTCTGATCCTGGTTTTATATTGTTCTTGTAAATCCAAATGTGAGTGTTATTAGAACTAACCAATCAGGAGCCTCCTGCCTCCATAGACCATAAACCAAAGACCACAGATTACAGACCATAGACTATGGACCATGGACCATAGACCATATGTTGTAAATGTTTAAGTTCATAGAGGACCCACATGTTCTATGTTATCCTGTGTGTAGTGTTTTTACCGAGGCAGGCTCCGTGATCGGTCCCCTCTGTGCTCCCCTCCTCCTGGGCTTCCGTCTCTGGATTTGGCCCTCGGCCTGGTTCAGCCTGGTCTCTGCCTGGACCTCGTCTGGACCAGGACTTTGTAAGTCTGTGGGGCAGGGACGGGGTCTTCCTGGATCCGTTGTGTTTCCGGACCACAACCCGAATGGGCTGGTCACACCCTCGCACAAACCTGATGAGCGAGGGAGAGGTGAAAAACCACACAAGGTCAGAGGAACCCTGAGGGCCCTGAACCGCGACGGCCCGAGGGTCCTGAACCCCGAGGGCTTGAGTCTCTCCTGAACCCTGAGCGCCCGAGTCTCTCCTGAACCCCGAGGGCCCAAGGGTCCTGAACCCCAAGGGCCCTCACTTCAAATAAAACTCAAAACTGCTTCTACTTCCTCTTTTAGCTCTTTCCTATAGTTCCTTTAACACGCTTGTTACAAGTACATAGTGTTTTCCTCGTGATAAGAACTTACCCGCCACCGCCGTCGTCGTCGTCGTCGTCAGAGTCGGCCCCTTCGTCCAGGTACACCTTGGTGCAGTGTCCTTTGCTGCGCGCTCCGTTGGGCAGGCCCTTTCCGCAGCAGGCGCACACAAACCTCTTGGACCCAACGGTCCAGGTCTTGTCGGCCTCTCCCCTGCAGACCACGTCGGCCCCCAGCCGCCGACCCCCTGCGTACACATGTCTGGGCAGCAGCTCCACCTCGTCCAGGTCTGTGGAAAACATCTCGTCTCTGGAGGACAGCTCGTCCAGGGACGGGCTCAGCACGCTCAGGCGCTCGTGTGTGGACAGGTAGTTGTAATACGGAGACTCCGACGGCAGCTCAAACGGCAGTTTTAAGATCTGGAAACTCACATCTACGTCCAGCTCCTCCGCCGGGGCCCGGCCTTCCACAGCGCCATCACAGGGCACACTCTGCTCGTCAGGCGCGCCGCCATCTGTCGGAACACCCGTGGCCGGCGGTTCGACTGGTACAACCTGCTCCTGTGCCCGCTCGCCGGCCTCCTCCTGCACAGACGAACTGTCCAGAGGCATCTCCTCGGCCCAGCGCTCCAGACTCCGATGGCTCAAGTCGCCGTCGTAACCCGCCATCGTGGAAAAGGTGGACGCCGGAGTCTCTAAGTAGCTTTGGTTTTTCTGCAACTTTTGAACAGTGTTCTTCTCTTCTGTCGGCGAAAACATGGTGGACGACTGCGAGGCCACGCCCGAGTCCAGCTCCCGCCCCTCGGCGCCTCGACCTTCGCTCGCCTGCATCTTGTCCAGACACTCGATGAGCTTTGCAATGGCGTCGCTGGGGTCGGTTTGGGCTTCGGAGCAGGCGGTTTCTCTGAAACCTGGTGGTTGTGGAGGAGGAGAGGGCTGGTGTCTGGAGGAGCCGTCCCAGGGAGGACAGGGGAAGCGAGGGTCGAACATGCGGCGGAAGTCCATGGGGTACAGAGGCGCCTGAGGGTACATGAAGCCTGGATACTGCATGTACTGGTACGGGCTCAGGCACTGGCGGCCCATGTTATAACCTGAGAATAAAACACAGGAAGTGTGAAACTGACCACAATTGATTCTGTAGTGTTGTATTTATTCAGTATTTTCTATAATAAGATTATTTTGTTGAAATAACCAGAAAGATTTGCTAAAGAAGAATAGTTAGAGCTATGAGTCGAGGACTTCACTCCCCAAAGTCGATATGACAATCAAACCTTGTGATTGTTCTAGTTTCATCTGGTTTGTTGCAGGAAATAGCTTTAAACTGAGACAAGAATCTGAATAAATGGACTTTTGGCCATAATTTGAGACTATCCTAGTCCCTTTGGCGTGTGCTGATGTCACATGACCCTAACAAAACCCTGAAGCCCCCAGTATCGGCCCTGACCTCCGGGCAGAGCGTAGTGGCCATAGGGGTTGTTCATCTGCCAGTGCTGGTACATGTAGTAGGGCTGAGGCTGCGACGGAGGCTGCACGTAGAAGAAGGGTCTGTGGTGGGTCCTCTGCTGCCCCCCGTTGTGTGGACCTTTAGCGCCATCTACAGGACACACACACACACACACAAAACAATCTGAACTATGACATGTAATAAAAATAATAATAATAATAATCTAATCACCAGCTCAATGTAGCCCAGTGGGAAAGTGCTCACGGATGAAGTTCAGGAACATTTGTGTCACACTTTTTGGGATTAAAGCTGTAGCTCAGTGCCATCTGTGATGTGGTTACATTAAATATTGTCATTGGAAATCCAGATATGAGCCATTAATAAAATATAAGTATATAAAGATGGACCAATCAGAGGCCTTTCACTCACGGATGACTATAGTCTCTATAGAAACTACGCCTCTGCTCGGTCCCTTGTCATGAGTTTATTTAGTTTATATCAAACAGGACGATGAGGGACTGAGAACCACGATGGCGTGAGAACCCCCAGACCTACCTTCCATGTTCGCTCCGTATTTTTCTTTTTTCTTGCAATTAAAAATCGTGTGTCCGCAGAGTTAGAATCCAAACGTTCGTGTCCGTGCGCAGAAGATTCTCCGAAAGTCCAAGAAAATCAGTGAAATCCCGTTCAGCTGCTGAGGAGGCCTTCAGGGACAGGCGGACAGAGGGATTTCAGACACTCAACTACAGACAGCAACAACCTGCTTCACTGTTGAGTGGGGTTCAAGCTATCGTATTCATTAAAACGCTTTTGTCAACTCTTTAGGCTGTGTTTAGATTGAGGCACTTCCTTCTTTCATTATTATTTATTGATTTATTCGAACGACCCTGTGCTTACAAGTATCTCCACAGTGCCATATGTACCAACTCGGACTCTGAGGAGCACAGGGACTGGCCTCCTGCTGGGACTCTGAGGAGCACAGGGACTGGCCTCCTGCTGGGACTCTGAGGAGCACAGGGACTGGCCTCCTGCTGGGACTCTGAGGATGACTCTTTCTAATGCACTGTGATTATTTAGGATTTAAATGCCTTGTGTGATTGTTCCTTGTCCTATTTTATTCAGCATGTTGAGGTGTCTTGTGTATAAACTGTGCTACACAAATAAACTTTCCTGTAGTTCTTTAACATGTAAGCCTCTTATCTCCATCCGCGCTCACAAACCGCGTTCATTCATAAAATCAGAATGTTGTTGTTGTAGTACCCGTGTCTGTCCAGTGAAGGCGCTGTTCTTCGGCTGCTCTTTGTCGCGCATGCGCACTCGCCCCCCTCGGCCTCTCGTCTTTCGGGCGCTGGAAGGTTGTCTCCCCTGCTTTTCTTTCCGCAACCGATTTTCTCCGTTAAAAATCGTCTGGAGCCGCGCGTTCTACCTCCGTGTGACCCGCAGGAGCCTCCGCGACACGTAAGCACGACCCCAGCCCGTGAAGGAGTCCTAAAACCCCGCGATTGGAGGCTTATATCTGCGTTCTTGCTCCGGCGGCTACTTTACATGTTAGCATAGCCGCATGACCGCTCTTTTTTTGGCGAAATCTGACATTTTTCGCAATTTTCGTTCATTAAACTCTTTAATTTCTATTTATCTCTTCCTGAACAAAGTGTTAGTTTACTTTCCGACTTCCTTGAGGAAACATTGGCGGTAAAATGTCTGATTCGCGGGGTATGTTTTGAGCTAATAATGCTAAGTGCATGCTAGCTCTCGCAGCCCCGTGTGGTTAGCATTACATCAGGCATCTGTCTTATGTAGATCAGGGAAGAAACCTCTGCTAATTACTCTGGATTACGGACTGACGTTTGTATGGTGTCCTGTCCCGTTAGTTTCATTAAATATTATTGCAAAATGACTAAAATGTAGCGCATTGTGTCTGTCTCTGGCTTTTGTAAAATGTCAACATTGTCAAACAGAACTTGTTGGTTCATATTTTATGGTTAATCTGTTCAATGACAAGTATTTTCTGAACAATGAGACTTGCAACTGAGCCTTAAAGTGAAATGCTGGTCTCTCTCTCTGGTCTCTCTCTCTGGTCCCTCTCTGGTGTGTGGGCTAATGTGACACTAGAGAGCAGGGCTTGGGTTTCAGCTGCGTCTCATTCAGTGCAGTGTAAAAGCGGTTGTTAAACAGTTTATAAATACGGTCGTGTTCAGGTGTCAGGTGACCCCCGGACAGCAGATTATCTCACTGAGGGAGAGACCAGAGGGAGAGAGGGACCAGAACTGTAGAAAATCAAATCTAATGTAGTTTGAAAGTAGTACACCATTATTAGTTTAATTTCATGTAATTGACTTCTTTAACGTCCTTCTCTCCCACAGTCCGTCGCTGATGCTCACCTGTTGCTACGTCACATGACCGTCACGCCTCTGCTGCTATGTCACATGACCTCCTCACATGACCTCCCTTCTCTTCACGACGCTCTGGGACCAACCTACCTCTGAAGCTCCCTCAGCTTCCCCCGGATCGGCCTTCGTGCTCGCCCAGCAGCGTGTTCCCACCGCTGTCAGAAGTCAGAGATTTGAACCAGCAACCACCGTTTGCACATAAATCTTTCTAGTCTCACGGCCTCATCTGGGACTTGTTTGTGTGCTTTTCTCACTAAGATTATCTCCATCTTGAAGCCACAAAATCACCAGGAACTACATTAAAATCATTTCAAGTCGTCTCCAAAGAGTTAATCTTAAAACATTAGGACAGTTTGATTCAAGATTGGAAACATGTGTTAAAACAAAACAACTATGCTTTTCTCTGTCGTTTGGCCTTGAATCAGTAGATCATGTTTTTACTCATAACCTGGACGTAACAATCGGACTCATCCCGGACTGGTCCACTGCTCCTCGCCGTGTTACTGGTGTGTTGCTAGCGTGTTGCTGGCGTGTTGTGGTGGTCTGAGAGCTGGGGCGGGACTCGGGGGATGAAAGCATGTCTGAGGCGGTGGAGCCCCGGCCGGTGAACTCGGAATACGCCGTGACGCTTCTGGAGCAGCTCAAGTTCTTCTATGAGCAAAAGTTACTCACGGACGTGGTGCTGCTGGTGGAGGACACGGAGTTTCCATGTCACAAGATGGTCCTGGCCACGTGCAGCGCCTACTTCAGGTGAGCGCCGAGAATCAGGAACTATAGATTTATAGATTAAGAGATCCTTTATTATACAATATATAGGTTCTTTGCAAACAGGAAAGAAGCTCAAGAAAAGCAAAACATAACTATCTGGTCTCTCTCTCTGGTATCTCTCTCTCTCTGGTCTCTCTCTCTCTCTGGTCTCTCTCTCTGGTCTCTCTCTCTGGTATCTCTCTCTGGTCTCTCTCTCTCTCTGGTCTCTCTCTCTCTCTCTCTCTGGTCTCTCTCTCTGGTCTCTCTCTCTGGTCTCTCTCTGGTCTCTCTCTCTGGTCTCTCTCTGGTCTCTCTCTCTCTCTGGTCTCTCTCTCTCTCTCTCTGGTCTCTCTCTCTCTGGTCTCTCTCTCTCTTCTCTCTCTCTCTGGTCTCTCTCTCTCTCTGGTCTCTCTCTCTGGTCTCTCTCTCTCTCTGGTCTCTCTCTGGTCCTGGTTCGCTCTCAGCTTTCACCATTATTCTCTGGACTCTCGTGTCCATTAATAATGAGTGTCCCACCTCCTCCTCCACAGTCAGAGGCTCCCATGTGGAAACTTAGATGGAAGAGTGTTTAAGGGTTTGAAACTTGCGTACCTTAGCTTTAATGTTTGTTTGTGTCTTCAGGGCGATGTTCATGAGCGGCCTCAGTGAAAGTAAACAGACTCATGTCCATCTGAGGAACGTGGACCCAGTGACTCTGCAGATCATCATCACCTACGCCTACACCGGCAACCTGGCCATCTCCGACTGCACCGTGGAGCCGCTGTACGAGACCGCCTGCTTCCTACAGGTGAGCCTGGACTGCGGAGACGGGTAGCGGGACGGAGGCGGGTAGCGGGACGGAGGCGGGTAGCGGGACGGAGGCGGGTAGCGGGACGGAGGCGGGTAGCGGGACGGAGGCGGGCAGCGGGACTGAGGCGGGACGGGGCAGGACCGAGGACCGTTCCACATCTTTGGGCAGTAGAGTTTGTCTGAGGAGAGTCATGTGCTTATCTCAGTTTGGTCCTGGGGTTTATTTTTCTGATTTTGTCTTTGGTCTTTTTGGTTCAATCTGATGTTTTTGTTTGTTCGTAAAACTAGAGCTTACGTTAGCAACATGTCCGCCCCTGTTCCGACGTCTAGCTCACCCCGTTGTCACAAATGCTCTTATTAAGAAATTGGCTCCAGCTTTTGACAACAGCTTCAACATCATCCACATTCAGGCTGACACTGAGGTGATGTCACACCTGCTCCACTCAGACGCTCTACGCTCCCAGTGCTTCTTACAACTATGCAAAAGACAAATGTTTGGAAAGTTTTGTTCTCAGCAATTTACTTTTACAAGACTCGTTTATGAAACTGAAGTGAGTACCTCAGGTTTAAGATAAAATTTATTGATCTCCGATGGAGAAATGTACATGTGACATCACAGATAGAATCACTCAGATTGTGCAAAGTGTGAGAAACATGTTAAAGGTTAAATATAAAGTCTGTGCAGGATATAATTATGTACAATAAAAAGAGCCAATAGCAGCTGGTTCCTCAATCAGAAAACTTTATTGATCCCAAAGGGCAATTCATTTGCAGCATAAACTCAAAGCAGAACACACACACACACACACACACGCACACGCACGCGCACACGCACACGCACGCGCACACGCACACGCACACAGAGTGAGTCTCACAGTTCACACAGCAGCAGGTTACACAGTACAAGTTACATATATAAGTCTGAGTGCATTAGTGACTTATTGTACAGTCTGACAGCGGTGGGGATCGTTGATATTTCCCAGTCCCGTAGTAACCTCCTCCTCTTCCTCACAGGTGGAGGACGTACTGCTCCAGTGCCGGGATTATTTGGTGAAGAAGATAAACGCAGAGAACTGCGTCCGGATGCTGAGTTTCGGGGACCTGTTCAGCTGCTGCGAGCTAAAGCAATGCGCCAAACGCATGGTGGAGCACAAGTTCCCGCTGGTGTACCATCAGGACGCCTTCCTGCAGCTGTCCCACGAGCTGCTCATCGACATCCTCAGCAGCGACAACCTGAACGTGGAGAAGGAGGAGACGGTGCGGGAGGCGGCCATGTTGTGGCTGGAGTACAACATGGAGGCGCGGTCGCAGCATCTGTCCTCCGTCCTCAGCCAGATCCGCATCGACGCCTTGTCAGAGGTCACGCAGCGCGCCTGGTTCCAAGGTTTATTGCCCAACGACAAGTCCGTGGTGGTGCAGGGTCTCTACAAGTCTATGCCCAAGTTCTTCAAGCCGCGCCTCGGGATGACCAAAGAAGAAATGCTGATCTTCATGGAAGCGCTGTCCGAGACTCAAGGGGAAGCCATCGTGATGTCCAACCTCATCCCTCCCACGGTGGTCTGCTACAGCCCGCAGGCCGAGAAGGTCTACAAGCTGTGCCACCCGCCGGGCAACCTGCAGAAGGTGGGCACTGTGGTCACGCCGGATAATGACATTTTCATCGCCGGGGGCCAGATCCCGCTCAATAACGCCATCACGAACTACGGGAAAAGCGGGAAGCTCCAGGCCGTGTTCCACTCGGTCAACAGCTTCTTCTGGTTCGACGCGCAGCAGAACCAGTGGGCGCCGAAGACCCCCATGCTGTGCGCACGCATTAAGCCGTCTCTGGTTTACTGCGACGGCTGCATCTACGCCATCGCCGGGGACAACGTGGGCGGGGACCTGAACAAGCGCACGGTGGAGCGCTACGACTGCGAGAAGGACGAGTGGAGCATGGCGTGCCCGCTGCCCTGCGCCTGGAACTGGAGCACGTCTGTGGTCGCCCACGAGCGCATCTACGTCATGACCCACGACCTCATGTACTGCTACCTGCCGCGCGCCGACACCTGGGTGGAGATGCCCATGCGCAAGACCAGCCGCTGCTTCGCCTCCGCCGCCGCCTTCGGGGATTTGATCTTCTACATCGGAGGTTTGCACGTCGTGAGCAACTCTGGGATCCGCTTACCCACGAGCACGATCGACGGCTCTTCGGTTACCGTGGAAATATACGACATCAACAAGAACGAGTGGAGGCTAGCGGCTAACATTCCCGCCAAGCGCTACTCCGACCCGTGCGTGCGGGCCGTGGTACTGCTCAACGCGCTTTGCATTTTCATGAGGGAGACGCACATGAACGAACGGGCGAAGTACGCCATCTACCAGTACGACGTGGAGCTGGACCGCTGGTTTCTGCGGCAGCCGGTGTCCGAGCGCGTGCTCTGGGACCTGGGCAAAGACTTCCGCTGCGCCGTGGGAAAGCTGTACCCGTCCTGTCTGTCCGAGTCCACCTGGAAGCCGCCCACGTACCTGTTCTCGCCGGACGGAGCCGAGGAGTTTGAGGTGGACGGAGAGTTGGTGTCTCTGCCTTAGTGTGGGTCTCAGAGAGTGGGAAATGGTTGGTTTGCTTCAACAAAATGTCAAATTGGTCGATAAGAAACGGAGCTGTGTCCATCTTGGTTTGAGTGTGTTCAGTCTTGACATTTTGCCAAAGAAAAAAAGTGAGAAATTAGTAGTTCTCAAAAAGGAACGCCCTGATCCTGGCCCCAGAGCTCACACCCACACTGAGGGTTGCCGAGTCAGTTTCATACGAGTTGATATGAGACTGATGAGACGATAATATCGTTAAGGGCAGTGGTTTCTCTCAGGGGTAACGCTCTAACAACAAAGTCAATCCTTGAAGTTGCAGCTTTATGTTTTAAGGCTTTATAACCTATGGTAAAAAAAAGTTTACTGAGATTCTAGTGGAGAAAACCTTTTGACCTTGTTGAATCTGGACCGGTGCGTCTGTTTGCAAAAAGACACAAACTCAATTCAAGATGTGTTCACTTCTACCTTGTACCTTATCGGCTTCTATTTCTCATTTTTGCAGTGTTTGAAATGGACTTTTCTGAAAGCCGAACGAGTTGACGATCCTTCCATCACTCTCTGAACTGTGTTGACTTGGATTTTGCGGTGACGAGGTACTTAAAACGGTTGAATAACTTGCACCAAAAGCAGACGTCAAATCCCCAGTGCTCATCTGTGACGACCTCCTCCTCTTCATCACTCGCTCTGGTCTGAAGACGTCTGTGTCGATGAAACGGACCTATCCCAGTGGGTTCCAAACCAGGAAACGCTCAGAACTACAGATTGTATTGGAATCTATTGAACCCTGCCTTCTAGCTTCACTTTCTCAGTCTGTGTCTGAATGTCCAGGCCTTTCCCCAGATGTTCTTCCAGACGTTACAAACCCACAGGAGAGATGAGGGTCTAGTGCTTTGGGAGACAGTTTTAACCACAGTAACCGAGGGAGTTGGGGAATCGTCTGGACATTTTTACACAGCCGTAGTCTTCTGTGTATCAAACCCTTTACTCTCTAGGACCATGTGCTCTGAGCGAGTTGTACAGAACACGCTCTATAACGTGTGGCAGTTGTAAACGGCTGGTCCGCTTACCATCACCTCAAAGAACTCCAACCCAACTCTGTCATATGCACTTCCACACAACCGGATCGACCACCTCAGTCCAGCCGCCATGTTGGGAACGCCACAGACGCCATGTTTCTGTCCTTTAGAAAATATACTGAAATATATAATTATGATCCACATGTAAATGTTTTTAAATGCAGGTGAAGTTAATGTATTAGAATAGTCTCCCATGGACTACATTTTAGAATACAGACATTTGACCCATGACTTTATAAAACAATGTGAGCTCCATGAAGCACAGTAGGGACGTGCTCAGGGCGGAGTTTCCCATTGACTTACATTATAACATGAAGCCGATGAGAACAAAGCTGAAGGACTGAACTAAATCTTCTGATGATGAGATAACGTACAATTAAACAAAATAATGAGTCCATAAACTGACTGATCTTCAAACACCGATCCGAAAACATCGTCACAAACTGAAGTTCCTGCTTTTATCTTTCATCCCTGAGAACTTGACCCCGGTGCTTCCCTCAGCTCAAAATGTCCCGCAGTGATTTAAAAGCAGAAAAATCTCCCTATAGTCTAAATGGCCCAGAGTTGGTCAAGTTTAGGCTCATTTTGAATCTGTCATTGATCTGTGGTTCTCCTGGAGTCATTCCCGGTGGCGTTCCCAACACTGCCTCAGCCCCTGTCCCTCCGACGGCCTCGCATGCTCCCGTGCAGCTCCCGTGCAGCTCCCGTGCTGCTCCCGTGCAGCTCCCGTGCTGCAGCTGCTAACTTCCGGACTCTTTCTTATGCTGAGAATGTGCCGCAGTCAGTGACGGCAGGTCTATTTTGTAGTGTTTTTTTTTTTATAATTTAAATCCGGACTTTACCGCAGTGGATCCGAGCGGATGTGGAGCTGGTGAACTTTCGGAGCATGTTTTTGGCTGCATCATATTCTTTGGCACTGTATTTTGACTGAACGTTAATTTATTAAAATGTTTAAAACGTTCCTAAACTCGTCTTGTTTTTGTTTCTTTGTCGTTTTAAAGCTGGGATACTGAACTTTCAAACCACATGAAGTGTGCCTCATCCGCGTCACGAGTCAAACTGTTTGGATTCATACTTGGCCTGTTAACATAATTTACTGACAATGCTAACCCACTTTCCCATTGAGCTAAAGGTGCTCTTTGTCCATGAGCACTTCACTCCAATTCACTCACTGAGCTCAGTTTGTGTCACGTTCTGGCCTTAAACAAATCCATGGTTTAGACTCATCACAGGGGTCTCCATCACAATGTTTGTGTGTTGTTGTGTATAAATGTTCGTGTGTGTGTGTGTTGTGTATGAATGTTAGTGTGTGTGCTGTGTATAAATGTTAGTGAGTGTGTTGTAGTGTGTGTTGTTGTGTATAAATGTTAGTGTAGTTGTGTGTAGATGTTAGTGTGTGTGTGTTGTGTGTTAAAATGAATCCAAAGCCTGAGTTGTGACACTGTTTATTGTCTTTACAGAGTAGTGCAGTTGTGATGTCACACACATTATATTCTATTTACAACACGACAAAAGCTTAAAAAGTTCAAAGTGTCTGTGCTTCTCTCTGGACTTGGGAAGTTTCTACAGAAGCTGCACAGATGTGTTAGAGCGCCCTCTGGGGTTCAGTCAGGGCTCTGCACACAGCACAGTCAGCTGTTGGTGTCCATTATTAATATTCCAGTTCAAAGTCAAAGTTAAAGATTCTAAAGTGAATGAAGAGAACAGCTGATGTTAAAGAGCGACTACAGAGTTTACAACAGAAGATAAAGTTAATGATTGTGTTTAACTCATTGCCTGCCAGTCTCTTTCAGAACAGGTACTGCCATATCGCCAGCCGTTTCTGATGGTTTTTTACTGATTTTTCCTCTCCCACAGAATATTGTGTACTATGTCTACCTGAAATCCAGATTCTGAAAGAATGGACTGTCTACTTTCATCAGCAAAAATAATTTTATTTCTAGCTTGTTTATCCCCAGTCGAGTAGAGGGAAGTTTTACTGAAATCACCAAAAAGCTGAGAAAAAGAGGCACAAAGTGCATCCTGTTTTCAAAACATCCAGACACAGCGCTGCTGCCCCCTGCTGGCTCCATAAAATATGCTCTAAAGCTAATCCCCATAAATATTAGTTATAATAGACATCTGGGAACATGAAAATAGCGGAAAACGCAATTGATGCATTAATGGAAGACAACTGTACTGTTTGGTTTGACGTGTTCACAGGTTAATGGCAGTCAATGAGTTAAAGTCTGTACAAGAAACAGCAGATACACTTTACATCATCTACTGGCCCTTTCCCTGGTCCTCCCCCTAGTCCTCACCTGGTCCTTCCCCTAGTCCTCCCCTGGTCCTGCCCTGGTCCTCCCCCTGGTCCTCCCCCGGTCTCCTGGTCCCTCAGATCTCCCCCTCAGGTACTGGTTCCAGGTGGATGGTGATCTCTCCGGTCGGGTTCTGATCGGCCAAACTCTGAAATAAGTTTATGGAGCGAACGATGGACTCGAAGTCCTCCACCTGCTTCTCCGCCCACGGCAACGAGACCTGAGAGAGAAACACGTTACTACAGGTACTGCAGGGACTACTACAGAGACTACAGGTACTGCAGTGACTACAGGTACTGCGGGTACTACAAATATGACAGGTGCTACAGGGACTGCCACAAGTACTTCGAAAAAAAATACAACAGGCACGACTACAAGAACAACGAGATCTGAAAGATAGACCTGAAACAGGTACTTCTGCTACTTCTACTATTACTAACTAGTTTGTAGCAGCAGCAGCAACAGTAGCAGCAGCAGCAGCAGCAGCAGCAGCAGCAGCAGTAGCAGTGGCAGTAGTACCTGTACAATGATGAGTTTCCTGCTGGTCTCCTCGGTCTCGTTCAGTTCTTCTCCAAAGCACAAAGTGAAGCCGCAGCTCGGACGCTCCCCTCGAGACGAACAGAAGAGGTCCAGCTCTAAACACAGTCACTCACTTCAGTCTGACGTTACCGTAGCACCTGCTCCAAACCAAGTCTAAATCTCAAAACCAGGACTAAACCGGGTCTAAACCAGGTCCAAACCAGGACTAAACCAGGTCTAAACCAGGTCTAAACCAGGTCTAAACCAGGTCCTGCACTCACGCTGTTTGAAGGCGTCCTTGCAGAAGAGTAGCTCGGGCTCCGTGTGGCGCTCCAGCTTGTGCAGGCCCCGCCCACAATGTGGTCCCGCCCAGAAGACCCGCCCCTGGCAGAAGCGGCGGCCGTAGACCCCCCGCGGAGTGGAGGTCAACACCACGCCTTTCTCCATGAACGGCAGCAGAGTGGTGAGCGCCGCGAGCTCCTGGCCCTGCCCCAGAGAGCAGGGGGGAGGGGGGAGGACCACGCTGGGGAACTGCGCCCCCTGGGGGAGAGCCGAGGGGGGGCAGAGGGGGGAGCACAGGTACTGGATACGAACATCCGAACTGAAGACCTGCTGCCGAGCCACTTCCTGCCCCCAGTACTGCACCACAACACGGAAGGAGTCCGGCTCTGTGGAGAGGGGAGGGGATCTGCTTTAGACCTGCTTTAGACCTGCTTTAGTCCTGCTTTAGTCCTGCTTTAGTCCTGCTTTAGTCCTGCTTTAGTCCTGCTTTAGTCCTGCTTTAGACCTGCTTTAGACCTGCTTTAGACCTGCCTTAGATCTGCTTTAGTCCTGCTTTAGTCCTGCTTTAGTCCTTCTTTAGTCCTGCTTTAGTCCTGCTTTAGACCTGCTTTAGACCTGCCTTAGATCTGCCTTAGACCTGCTTTAGTTCTGCTTTAGACCTGCTTTAGTCCTGCTTTAGTTCTGCTTTAGACCTGCTTTAGTCCTGCTTTAGTCCTGCTTTAGTCCTGCTTTAGTCCTTCTTTAGTCCTGCTTTAGTCCTGCTTTAGACCTGCTTTAGACCTGCCTTAGATCTGCCTTAGACCTGCTTTAGTTCTGCTTTAGACCTGCTTTAGTCCTGCTTTAGACCTGCTTTAGTTCTGCTTTAGACCTGCTTTAGTCCTGCTTTAGTCCTGCTTTAGACCTGCTTTAGTCCTGCTTTAGACCTGCTTTAGTCCTGCTTTAGTCCTGCTTTAGTCCTGCTTTAGACCTGCTTTAGACCTGCTTTAGTTCTGCTTTAGACCTGCTTTAGTCCTGCTTTAGTCCTGCTTTAGACCTGCTTTAGTCCTGCTTTAGACCTGCTTTAGTCCTGCTTTAGTCCTTCTTTAGTCCTGCTTTAGTCCTGCTTTAGACCTGCTTTAGTCCTGCTTTAGTCCTGCTTTAGTCCTGCTTTAGACCTGCTTTAGACCTGCTTTAGTTCTGCTTTAGACCTGCTTTAGTCCTGCTTTAGTCCTGCTTTAGACCTGCTTTAGTCCTGCTTTAGTCCTGCTTTAGACCTGCTTTAGTCCTGCTTTAGACCTGCTTTAGTCCTGCTTTAGTCCTGCTTTAGTCCTGCTTTAGACCTGCTTTAGACCTGCTTTAGTTCTGCTTTAGACCTGCTTTAGTCCTGCTTTAGTCCTGCTTTAGACCTGCTTTAGTCCTGCTTTAGTCCTGCTTTAGTCCTGCTTTAGTCCTGCTTTAGTCCTGCTTTAGTCCTGCTTTAGTCCTGCTTTAGTCCTGCTTTAGAAAAAAAAGCGTGGCGTACGAGCAGAGTGACCGGAGCCGAGGACACACAAACACACACACGTGTGTGTTTGTGTGTGTTCTGGTGATTAAATAAAGACTGATTCTTGAATGTCTGAAGTGTTGTTGCAACAGTAGCACACCGAGGGTCAGGACAGAGGGAGTTATTCCCGCAGGAAACACTTTTCTTTGGCCCTGGAGCCACACACTCCCCTGCGCCCCTCGATCACGGTCCCCTGCGCCCCTCGACCACGGTCCCCTGCGCCCCTCGACCACGGTCCCCTGCGCCCCTCGACCACGGTCCCCTGCGCCCCTCGACCACGGTCCCCTGCGCCCCTCGACCACGGTCCCCTGCTCCCCTCGACCACGGTCCCCTGCGCCCCTCGACCACGGTCCCCTGCGCCCCTCGACCACGGTTCCCTGCGCCCCTCGACCACGGTTCCCTGCGCCCCTCGACCACGGTCCCCTGCGCCCCTCGACCACGGTCCCCTGCTCCCCTCGATCACGGTCCCCTGCGCCCCTCGACCACGGTCCCCTGCGCCCCTCGACCACGGTCCCCTGCGCCCCTCGACCACGGTCCCCTGCGCCCCTCGACCACGGTCCCCTGCGCCCCTCGACCACGGCTCCCTGCGCCCCTCGACCACGGTTCCCTGCGCCCCTCGACCACGGTCCGGGGCTTATATGAAAGGTTTAACACAAGCGGAGAATACGAGAGTGCAAGAGAGAGGTGTGTCAAATGCGTGTCACGTGTCACAGGAATACGTAATGTGACACACATCCCCCACTCCCCCCACCCGCCACACATGACCCCCCCTCATCCCCCACTCCCCCCCACCCCGCCACACTGACCCCCCTCATCCCCCACTCCCCCCCACCCGCCACACTGACACCCCTCATCCGCGCTGTAAAGGGTGCTCAGGCCCACGTCTTTAATCGTGCCCAGGCTCGATAGCCGCGGTCACATGCACAGCCTAAAGCCCGGATCTAATCCCTAAACGGCCCTGGCCCATTTAAACCGGGCTTTAGGCTGTGCATGTGCAGCCCATAGACTGTAGATATTAACGGACGTAGTCACGCCTGTCTCCGCCGTTCTAACTAATGAGCCAAAAATTGGGCTCTTATGGAGTGATTCAAAATGGCCGCAGGGGCTGGAAAATTTGAAAAAACGTATCTGCGCGTCAGCTGCACGAGCTCCATTCATTTAAACGAGAGACTTAAAAAATTCACAGCCCTAAAGCAGGTCGAAAGCTGTTTTTCTTAAACGTCACCCGTTTGAGCTGTTTCCTCTATCCGGACGTCCAGAGTGATCTCATCCATCTCTGAAAAAAGACACACACACAAATGTAAGTATACTGTAACTTATATGAATGATGAAGTCTAAAACCTGTAAAGTGTCGTAAAGCGCCGTAAAGCGTAGTAAAGTGTGTTTACCTTCCGTCGGTCTCGGCAGCTGATTGGTCGCTGTCTCCTCCACATGAACAATCTCACTGCCGAAAAACACCTCCACGTTCTGGGGAAAGAACACAAAAATTTAGTCCTGGTCCAGTCCGGGTCCAGTCCGGGTTCAGACCTCTAGAGTGGTCTCTGGTTCCTCTTCAGTCTTGATGGTTTTGGGTTCTGGTTTCTGGTTTTTCTCGGAGCTCTTGCGTTTGCGTCGCTCACAGCTCTTCTTCTGTGGAGACGGAAAACCTGAATAACAAACATGAAAAACAGAAGAGATTACGAGAATAAAGGTCTCTCTCTCTCTCTCTCGCTCTCTCTCTCTCTCTCTCTCTCTCTCTCTCTCTCTCCTCTCTCTCCTCTCTCTCTCTCTCTCTCTCTCTCTCTCTCTCTCTCTCTCTCTCTCTCTCTCTCTCTCTCTCTCTCTCTCTCTCTCTCTCTCTCTCTCTCTCTCTCTCTCTCTCTCTCTCTCTCTCTCTCTCTCTCTCTCTCTCTCTCTCTCTCTCTCTCTCTCTCTCTCTCTCTCTCTCTTCCCACCCCCCCCCCCTCTCTCTCACCCTGCTCTGAGGGGGGCACCAGGCTGTAGACCTTGTAGGGCTCAGAGATGTCCAGTTGGGCGCGGCCGTTCTCTTCCCTGAACTCCGGGCTCTTGTTGAGGGCGCAGCGGAGGCGGGTCTTCCACGAGGCCGGATTATTCTGCTCCTTTGCGGTCAGCTTCCCCTTAAACTCTGCCCACGCCTGACCAAGAACCGCATATTTACAACCAATACCTGTCCGTCTGTATACAGATGCTAATGCTAACACAGACTGTATACAGATGCTAATGCTAACACAGACTGTATACAGATGCTAATGCTAACACAGACCGTATACAGGTGGACAATGCTAATGAAGCCAAATAGGGAGAAGCTCAAGGAGAAACTGTGGCTCCTTTAAACTTCTATGTTAAAGTAAACTCAGTAAAACCATTTTGGGCTTCTGTGGTTTAGAACCGTCTGTTTGGAACTGATCCTGGAGTTTATTAGTTTTTGCTCTATTGTTTTTGCTCGAGAGATGTCAAATTCTGCACTTTGAGCCCTAATTTCACCCCCTGAACATGCATGAAAAGTTGTAAAATTTTGCCCAAACATCAGACCTGGTGAAAAATTTGATATTTGGGTGTTTATTTTTATGGGACTCAAAAAATGCCAGAACAACGCCACCTACAACAGCCAATGGGAGTTTCAGAGGTCAAGTTTGTCGTAGAGCCATGAAATTCGGTACACATGTTCCTCAAGTCAAGATACGAGAAAAATGTTACCATGGCTCCGCCCTCTGACAAACAGGAAGCCCATACATTTCACTGCAAAATGGAAAAATGAACAGCAATCATTTTCACACATGTCGGTTGGAAAGCGACTCCTCCTCGGCCGTTTCACCGATTTGCCTCAAAATCGCTCCACATCATCTCAACACATGTACCTTGAAAATGACCAAAGGGATTTTTGATCAGTGAAACGTTGTTTGAGCAGGGGAGCGGCAAAATGTGAGTGTTCATTGACCGTTTTGGACAACACTAATTTTGCTCCCGTTTGCACAAACAAAGTCTGATTTGCACAAAACTTGAATCCATTGTTCAACTCCAGGGTTTAGGTCAGGTGAAAGTGAAATATTTGAAATTGGCCCATTAGCGCCCCCTACAGACTGAGTCAAAGTTTTACATGGGGTGCCAAACAGCTCTAATCATATTCATTACAATTTGACTAACATTCTTCTATGGCAACAGCAACAAATCATCACACGGCCCCACCTCCTTTGCACGGTGCTGCGTGGTACGGTGTGGTGCGGCGTAGTGCGGGGCGTTGTGGAGCGGCGCGTTGCGGCTTGGTGCAGGGCGGCGCGGTGCAGAGCCGCTTGGTGCAGGGCGGCTTGATGCGGGGCGGTGCGCGCGGTGCGGCGAGGGCCGTTCAACGCCGCTTGCGGCTTTAATTTTGATTGTGTTTGTCTCAATGTGGAAGAGGCTGACAAGAGCTGACTTCAACACATTTGAATGTGGCCCAAATGTATGCAAATGTTGTTGGTAACAACAGAAGACTTTAGGACCAAGAACCACTTTAGGACCAAGAGCCACTTTAGGACCAAGAGCCACTTTAGCAGAACCACTTTAGGACCAAGAGCCACTTTAGGACCAAGAACCACTTTAGGACCAAGAACCACTTTTTTCATCCAGAACCGGGAGGACCAGACGATGCCCAAATACAGACTAGTTTCCCATGGATCTTTGCGAGTTCCAGGCGAGTTCCGCTAATATGTCAGCGACCGTGCCAGCACAAAGCGCCACTGAGCACATTCATTTGAATACGGCGCCATCTTGGATCGCCGGGGCTTGGTCCCCACAGGCCTGGGGTGGTATTGCAGCGTGTCAGTGTCCCCACTGAGTCGCGTGGCCCTGGTCTGTTCGCACTACTCGCTGCTAAAGCCAAATTTGGCAACAGAAAGGCCTCTGATTGGTCAGTCCTAACATGGCTCATGTCTGGATTTACAAAGACAATATCACAACACAAACACTGGGATCACAGACAAACCATGGATTATTTCAGCCCAGAATGGTGATGTCACACGAACAGTTACTGAGCTCCAGGAGTTGACTTTTACATGTGAGTTAATAGAAGCCAAACTTTGTCCATGAGCACTTTGTCCATCTGTTCAGTCACTTTCACTGCTGCTCAAACCTTAAAGATGGCGGCGTCCTCGTCCTTCCTGAAGTCCTGTTTTCCTGCGTGTTTCCAGGGGATTCGGAACCTGGTTCTGTTCTCGTCGTCCCAGACCACTCCCGGGTACCGACCACTGTTCACCTGCAGACATCACACCATCAGGGCCTCTCTCTGGTCTCTCTCTGGTCTCTCTCTGGTCTCTCTCTGGTCTCTCTCTGGTCTCTCTCTGGTCTCTCTCTGGTCTCTCTCTGGTCCTTCTCTGGTCTCTCTTGTCTATCTCTCTCTCTGGTCTCTCTCTGGTCTCTCTCTCTTGTCTATCTCTCTCTCTGGTCTCTCTCCATCTTCTCCTTTGAGTCATATCTAAAAATGTATTTAACGCCACAAACCAAACCAGAAACAAACACATGGTGTAAGAGGTGTGGTTCTGGTCCAGTCTGTGCCAGGACCATAAACAAACTCATGTCAACGCAGACTCTTCACCACAGAACGTTTCAACATGTCATGACTCTGTATCTTCTTTGCCTCAGAGCAAGACTATCAAACCACAAAAATGAATGAACCATGAACTATGTTTCCATGATTCAGCCAATCAGCTCTCAGCCCACTCTCCCCCACAGAGCACTTCAGAACTGTGGGTCCAGAGAAAGACCAGTCTCTCTCTGGTCTCTCTCTGGTCCCTCTCTGGTCCCTCTCTGGTCCCTTTCTGGTCTCTCTCTGGTCGCTCTCTGGTCCCTCTCTGGTCCCTCTCTGGTCCCTCTCTGGTCCCTCTCTGGTCCCTCTCTGGTCTCTCTCTGGTCTCACCTGTGTCACCATCCAGTCACGCAGCTTTCGAGTGGAGCGCATCTTCCCGACGGCCATGGCTTCAAATCACACACACAGACATAGAAAACACACCCAAATTTACAAATACAGACAACATTGATCCAACATAAATCAGGACTAAAGCAGGACTAAAGCAGGTCTAAAGCAGGTCTAAAGCAGGACTAAAGCAGGACTAAAGCAGGTCTAAAGCAGGACTAAAGCAGGTCTAAAGCAGGTCTAAAGCAGGACTAAAGCAGGTCTAAAGCAGGTCTAAAGCAGGTCTAAAGCAGGACTAAAGCAGGTCTAAAGCAGGACTAAAGCAGGTCTAAAGCAGGTCTAAAGCAGGTCTAAAGCAGGTCTAAAGCAGGACTAAAGCAGGACTAAAGCAGGAGTCAGGACTAAAGCAGGTCTAAAGCAGGACTAAAGCAGGTCTAAAGCAGGTCTAAAGCAGGTCTAAAGCAGGTCTAAAGCAGGTGTAAAGCAGGACTAAAGCAGGACTAAAGCAGGAGTCAGGACTAAAGCAGGTGTAAAGCAGGACTAAAGCAGGTCTAAAGCAGGTCTAAAGCAGGTCTAAAGCAGGCCTAAAGCAGGTCTAAAGCAGGACTAAAGCAAGTCTAAAGCAGGTCTAAAGCAGGACTAAAGCAAGTCTAAAGCAGGTCTAAAGCAGGACTAAAGCAGGACTAAAGCAGGACTAAAACAGGACTAAAACAGTATTTGACCTCAATCACACTGAGAGTGAATGAAAAGAAACAAACAAGAGCTTTTTTCACATTAAAGAATAATCTCATGTCCAAAGTCAAGGCGGTGTCTGCGGCGCAATCACACAGATAACAGTGTTACCATGAAGTGTATGTGTGTGTGTGTATCTGTGTGTATCTGTGTGTGTTGTAGAGTCAGTGCAGTTTCTTTACCTGCTCTTGGTTCTTCCTGCTCTCTTTCTGTGAAAGTGCGTCTCTGCCTGAGCCCGAACAGCGGCTGGAGCTGTTTCCCAGAAAACACGTGACTTTGAGGAAGAGGTGCGCGCTGCGGCCGCCGGGGGGCGACAGAGAGCGGCGCTGGAGAGACCAGGCCTCTTTATTGAAGTCTAAAGTCATTCAGTTTAAGTGTGCAGGCTTTTGTGTGAACTAGCAAAGTCTCAAACACTGAGAGGTGGGTCGGCTGGACCCGGGTCTGGGTCTAGGTCTGGGTCTGGGTCTGAAAGTGATGATCCTCTACATTTACATTTAAGGACATTGGTTTTATGGACCAATGACTCTGTTTATCATTGTATTCCTTGTGCTTGGACTGATTCTCTAATCTGCGTTGGTAAATTCAACAGTTTTCTCTTAAATCTTCTGAGAAACTACTTTAGTGGTTTAGGGCGATATGAAAATATGTTTAATTGAATTGAATTTTTTTTTTTTTAAAGGAACGAGTATTTAATTTATTGGTTTTCACATGCAAGTGTTTAATGTCACATCTTAAAGAGGTTTTAGTCCTGTTTTAGTCCTGCTTTAGTCCTGCTTTAGACCTGCTATAGTCCTGCTTTAGACTGTTATGGTCAAATTTAGAATGATCCGAGACAAACAAGTGTCTTTGTGTGATTTATTAAAGTAATAAAATACAAACATGTTAAATGCATAAAGTGAATCCAAGTTGTGGAGAAGGACCTAAACTCTTCTGCCCAGAACAAAGCCCGAGTCTCCAGCTTTTCCCAGACTCTGGGAGAGAGGAGGGAGAGAGGAGGGAGAGAGGAGGGAGAGGAGGGAGAGAGGAGGGAGAGAGGAGGGAGAGGAGGGAGAGAGGAGGGAGAGAGGAGGGAGAGAGGAGGGAGAGAGGAGGGTGAGAGGAGGGAGAGAGGAGGGTGAGAGGAGGGAGAGAGGAGGGAGAGGAGAGGGGAGGGAGAGAGGAGGGAGAGAGGAGGGAGAGAGGAGGGAGAGGAGAGGGAGAGAGGAGGGAGAGGAGGGAGAGGAGGGAGAGAGGAGGGTGAGAGGAGGGAGAGAGGAGGGAGAGGAGAGGGGAGGGAGAGAGGAGGGTGAGAGGAGGGAGAGAGGAGGGTGAGAGGAGGGAGAGGAGAGAGGAGGGAGAGAGGAGGGAGAGAGGAGGGAGAGGAGAGGGAGAGGAGGGAGAGGAGGGAGAGAGGAGGGATGTGAGTGATCTTTATGATCCTCCTCCACATGTTTCTCATCAGTGGAATGGCTCCAGTGTCTCTGTGTTGAGTTTCACTATTTCTACCATTTCTTATGTTATTTATATAATTAATAGTAATTTTCCACTACAAGACCTGCTGTAGACCTGCTTTAGTCCTGCTGTAGACCTGCTTTAGTCCTGCTTTAGTCCTGCTTTAGTCCTGCTTTAGTCCTGCTTTAGTCCTGCTTTAGTCCTGCTTTAGTCCAGGTTCAAAAACAATCCGTAAAAACCAAGGTTGAATTTGTTTTATATACATTTCTGATTAAAAACACAAACACAGATTCATCGTTTGGTTTATTTTCCGTCACCGTCTATTCAAGGACTCCAGGACTCCACATGTTACTGGTTACGAGGAACTTTGTCTCCGAGTGGAACCTCCATCAGTTTCTGCAACAAGAGAAACATCAATAAACAGAGTTCTGGAGGACGCCACACTCTGGAACTGAGCGTTCTTTAACCACACTCTGGAACTGAGCGTTCTTAAACCACACTCTGGAACTGAGCGTTCTTTAACCACACTCTGGAACTGAGTGTTCTTAAACCACACTCTGGAACTGAGTGTTCTTAAACCACACTCTGGAACTGAGTGTTCTTAAACCACACTCTGGAACTGAGTGTTCTTAAACCACACTCTGGAACTGAGTGTTCTTAAACCACACTCTGGAACTGAGTGTTCTTTAACCACACTCTGGAACTGAGTGTTCTTTAACCACACTCTGGAACTGAGTGTTCTTAAACCACACTCTGGAACTGAGTGTTCTTAAACCACACTCTGGAACTGAGTGTTCTTAAACCACACTCTGGAACTGAGTGTTCTTAAACCACACTCTGGAACTGAGTGTTCTTAAACCACACTCTGGAACTGAGTGTTCTTTAACCACACTCTGGAACTGAGTGTTCTTTAACCACACTCTGGAACTGAGTGTTCTTAAACCACACTCTGGAACTGAGTGTTCTTAAACCACACTCTGGAACTGAGTGTTCTTAAACCACACTCTGGAACTGAGTGTTCTTAAACCACACTCTGGAACTGAGTGTTCTTAAACCACACTCTGGAACTGAGTGTTCTTAAACCACACTCTGGAACTGAGTGTTCTTAAACCACACTCTGGAACTGAGTGTTCTTAAACCACACTCTGGAACTGAGTGTTCTTTAACCACACTCTGGAACTGAGTGTTCTTAAACCACACTCTGGAACTGAGTGTTCTTAAACCACACTCTGGAACTGAGTGTTCTTAAACCACACTCTGGAACTGAGTGTTCTTAAACCACACTCTGGAACTGAGTGTTCTTAAACCACACTCTGGAACTGAGTGTTCTTAAACCACACTCTGGAACTGAGTGTTCTTAAACCACACTCTGGAACTGAGTGTTCTTAAACCACACTCTGGAACTGAGTGTTCTTAAACCACACTCTGGAACTGAGTGTTCTTAAACCACACTCTGGAACTGAGTGTTCTTAAACCACACTCTGGAACTGAGTGTTCTTTAACCACACTCTGGAACTGAGTGTTCTTAAACCACACTCTGGAACTGAGTGTTCTTAAATCGCTGGATATAAACCGGACTGAGGACAGATATCAGGAAATGTATAAAATTAAACAATTAAGACTGAAAGGACAAATTTGAGGAAAAATTCCAACCAGCTTGGTTGGAATGAAAACCTGCATCCACAGCCGCCATCAAGGAATGAGTTTGACACTCCTGGTTGTTAGATTTAATTTGGTTTATGTTTTAAAAATGTGACCCAAAGGTACAGCTAAAGTCAGGTCCTCTCAGGTTGTAAAGAGTTCTGTTTCAGTTGGAAGCCAATAAACTTCTTCAAAGGAGCAGAGACTGAAGCAGAGACTGAAGCAGAGACTGAAGCAGAGACTGAAGCAGAGACTGAGGCAGAGACTGAAGCAGAGACTGAAGCAGAGACTGAGGCAGAGACTGAAGCAGAGACTGAAGCAGAGACTGAGGCAGAGACTGAAGCAGAGACTGAAGCAGAGACTGAGGCAGAGACTGAAGCAGAGACTGAAGCAGAGACTGAGGCAGAGACTGAGGCAGAGACTGAAGCAGAGACTGAGGCAGAGACTGAAGCAGAGACTGAAGCAGAGACTGAAGCAGAGACTGAAGCAGAGACTGAGGCAGAGACTGAGGCAGAGACTGAAGCAGAGACTGAAGCAGAGACTGAGGCAGAGACTGAAGCAGAGACTGAAGCAGAGACTGAGGCAGAGACTGAGGCAGAGACTGAAGCAGAGACTGAAGCAGAGACTGAGGCAGAGACTGAAGCAGAGACTGAGGTCTAGCCCCGGTCTAACCCCAGTCTAACCTTGGTCTAACCCGTACCTGGAGCAGCCGGTCCCTGTAGTGGGGGTCACTCTCGCCCTCGGTTCTCAGGACCGGGACGTGGTACCGAGTACAGGCCAGAATCAGCTCCTGAAGGTCAAACAGCACCGCGGGGTCCAGAGAGTGAAGGTTTATCAGGCTCACCAGGTACTCCCGGTAATGCTTCCTGAACACCCACACACACACACACACACACACAACACACCAGACACAGACACACACACATCAGAGTCTGAACACAAAGCACTGAAACACAATGGCCTCAAACTGGGGTCAGGTGCACTGAGACTGGGACCTCACAGACTGGGACCTCACAGACTGGGACCTCAGACTGGGACCTCACAGACTGGGACCTCAGAGACGGCAATCTCATACTGGGACCTCAGAGACTAGGACCTCAGAGACAGGGACTCACTCGCACAGTCCGGCCTGGCCTGGTTTGGTCTCTCCTCCACACGGCTGGTCCAGGTGCTGCCCAGTGTCCTTCTGCTCCATCACTCCACACACAACTACACACAGACACACAACATTATGAAGGACACAAACACACAACATTATGAAGGACACAGACACACAACATTATGAAGGACACAGACACACAACATTATGAACTACACAGACACACAACATTATGAACTACACAGACACACAACATTATGAAGGACACAAACACACAACATTATGAAGGACACAAACACACAACATTATGAACTACACAGACACACAACATTATGAACTACACAGACACACAACATTATGAACTACACAGACACACAACATTATGAAGGACACAGACACACAACATTATGAAGGACACAGACACACAACATTATGAACTACACAAACACAACATTATGAACTACACAGACACACAACATTATGAAGGACACAGACACACAACATTATGAACTACACAGACACACAACATTATGAACTACACAGACACACAGCATTATGAACTACACAGAAACACAACATTATGAACTACACAGACACACAACATTATGAAGGAAACAAACACACAACATTATGAAGGACACAAACACACAACATTATGAACTACACAGACACACAACATTATGAACTTCCCCGACACATAATGACACACACTCAGAGTTGTGTGTAACATAACACACAGTTGTGCGTCTCTCACCGTCAGCAGCAGTGGGTTCAGTGTTGAAGGCCACGTTACTTTTCTGTTAAAACAATAAAAAGGTTGAGTTCCTCCAGGTGCTCCATAGTCAGCCTGTGTGTGTTTCTAAAGCTGAGGTCCGTAAACTACAGACACAGGTTTATTAATGAGATGAACACATTTTGTGAGTTATTTATGAAAAAGTTAGAATTAAATGAAGCATTGTTTGTGCTCAGTCTGTTCCAAAGAAAAGAGTAGAAAACACGTCCCTCTAGTGGCACAAGTGGGACATTACATCCAGCAAGGTCGAAACAGGACACTTGGGTTGTTGCTTCATTTTATATCAGTCTGGATCAGTCTGAGTCAGTCTGGGTCAGTCCAGGTCAGTCCGGGTCAGTCTGGGTCAGTCCGGGGTTCACAGACCTTGAGCAGGTCCTGGAGCCGGGCTGGGTCCCAGTCCCGGAGGTAGAACAGACAGTCTCTCGGGTGGTGAGCGTGGAGCCCATTCAGAGTACACCCTGCAGTCCTACAGGCAGTCTACAGAGATACACACAAATACACGAATACACACACACACAAACACATATATATACACACACACACACAGAGACACACTTTAGACTCAGGTAAAGAGCCATTTCCAGGGGATGCAGGGGGAGGAGTACCTTGTGGAAGGCGTTGTTGCAGCCGCTGCAGAACTCGTAGCGACACTGGGAGCAGGTGAAGTGCATGCAGCCGCCTTTGGTCAGAGCGTACTGGAACCGGCAGCTTGGACACGCTGTAAACACACATGACTCATGTTTGTCCTCGGCCACGTTCAGACAGAAAAGTGTGGAAGGCAAACATGACTAAAACACGGTTTAAGCATGAGCTAAATGATTCACTAAAGATTCATGTGTTTGGAAATGTCAGGATGTGATGGTTACTATGACGACAGTGATCTCTCTGATGTGACTGTTTTACTATGACGACAGTGATCTCTTTGATGTGACTGTTTCACTATGACAACAGTGGGCCTCATTCACGAACCGTACTTAAGAACATATTTGTGCGTAAATCCTACTTACGAAGATTTTACGAAGATTGTGCCATTCATGAAATGTTCTCGTAACCAGAATTTCTCTTGGGTACGTACAAATCCTACGAATGCTCAGGAGCACTCGTACGCACATTCAGTGCCGACATGTTCGCACGCTGGTGTTATGTAGTTCCATAAAACACAACATTACAGTGATATGTTTGTCATATTGATGTATTTATTTATTTAATTGTTAATGGTAATTTAGCCTATTTTTTAATTCATTTTAAAATGAACTGTGCCAACGCTTTATCAAATACATTGGAAATCTTGCCGTGTATTAGTGACCCCTTCCTATTTATTGGGGGAATTTCTTTATCCACGGGCCACAGAACAACGGCATATATACTGCTGCTGCAGGAGGCTGCGGGGTCTGCGCTGAGTCTCTGCGCTGGTCTCTCCCATGGATCTATACGGGTCTGCGCTGGTCTCTCCCATGGATCTATACGGGTCTGCACTGGTCTCTCCCATGGATCTATACGGGTCTGCACTGGTCTCTCCCATGGATCTATACGGGTCTGAGGCAGATTTCTTGCTTTGTGTTTTTGCAGTGTTGTATGTTTAGTACTTAATATAATAATATATGCAGCTGGTACTGACTGATGCCGTTGTCCCGTAAGTATCCGGCCAGACCCTGCTTCTGGAACTCTGGGTCGTTGTCCCTCTTCCACTTCTGAAACTGCTCACAGCTCACGTCCTGGTGCTGCGCCTCCCACTGCCACACACCACATCATCATCATCATCATCATCATCATCATCATCATCATCATCATCATCATCATCCTCTGCCTCTGCCTGTGTCTCTGCCCCTGCCCCAGTCTTGGTCTCGGTCTCTGCCTCAGACTCAGCCAAAAGGTTCACAGACCACACAATCTCCTGATCTGATCATGTGACATCAACACGTTCCTAAGAGCCTGTAGTTTCACATTGTGGTGGATCCGTCCTGGTAACAATGGAAACGGCCACAAATCAGAAGCTAGTCTTAGTTTAGATACATTTTCTCTGCTCTGGTCTCCCTCTCGCTCTGGTCTCTCTCGCTCTGGTCTCTCTCACCTTTTTCTTGCACTTGCAGCAGAAGCTCTTGTGGCAGGAGGGACATGTGACTTTGAGCTGATCCACGTCGTTTATGAAGCCGGACGTGCACTGGACAAACACACAATCAATGTCAAAAATGTCTTTCTGGTGGTCTCTCTCTGGTCTTTCTGGTGGTCTCTTTCTGGTCTCTCTCTGGTCTCTCTCTGGTCTCTCTCTGGTCTCTCTCTGGTCTCTCTCTGGTCTCTCTCTGGTCTCTCTCTGGTCTCTCTCTGGTCTCTCTCTGGTCTCTCTCTGGTCTCTCTCTGGTCTCTCTCTGGTCTCTCTCTGGTCTCTCTCTGGTCTCTCTCTGGTCTCTCTCTGGTCTCTCTCTGGTCTCGCTCTGGTCTCGCTCTGGTCTCGCTCTGGTCTCGCTCTGGTCTCGCTCTGGTCCCTCTCTGGTCCCTCTCTGGTCCCTCTCTGGTCCCTCTCTGGTCCCTCTCTGGTCCCTCTCTGGTCCCTCTCTGGTCCCTCTCTGGTCCCTCTCTGGTCCCTCTCTGGTCCCTCTCTGGTCCCTCTCTGGTCCCTCTCTGGTCTCTCTCCGACCCACATCAACCACATAAACTCACATGGCAGCACCAGAGGAACTTGGGGTCCTTCATCAGGGTGTGCTCCGTCAGTTTGCTGTGGAACAGGTCGTAGACGTCGGGGCTCAGACAGTTCCTCAGCTGCAAAACACAAACAAACCACATTCACACTCCCTCCAATTAAAGCTGGGGTATGTAACTTTCAAACTGCAGAAAATTAAACTCTGTCATTAGGTTTGGCTTATAATCAGGAACAATGCTGGGAAGCCCCGCCCCTTTGACACATGCTCACGAGTCGCAGGGCAGGGAAGGGCCAAATGTCAGCAGGGGGAGGGGCTAGATGTCAGCAGGAGTAGAGGCTAGGAGACGGCAGCCAATCATCTCTCAGCCAATCAGCACGGGGCTCTTTCTAACCCCGTACATACATGTTTTATAGTGGGAAGCATGTTGTGGTCTGGTTTGTTCACATTTGACTGGACATGTGTTGTTCATGGACAGACAAAGTTACGTAGCCGAGCTTTACGGTCACCTGGATGTCGAGTGTGGAGAAGTAGTCGTCGAGCTGCTCGGGGTCGTTGATATCGGGGTCGTCGCACGCCGGGCACACCATGTCCCGGATGTGTTTCTCCGTCACCGCGATTGTGAAGTGTTTCTGGAAACACTCCAGGCACAGAGAGCACTGGCAGGAGGTGAGAGAGCGCATCTGAGGAGAGAGAACACCCCCATGTAAGAGAGACCACCACACAGTGACAGAGACCACCACACTGTGAGAGAGACCACACCCATGTGTGAGCGGGCACCCCGATAAGAGAGCACCCCAGTGAGAGAGCACCCCAGTGAGAGAGCACCCCAGTGAGAGAGCCCCCTAGTGAGAGAGCACCCCAGTGAGAGAGCACCCCAGAGCCCTGACCTTGCTGACGGGGAAGGTGCTGTAGCAGACGCCGCACTCGTTCTGCAACAGGCGTTTGATCACATCCCGGTCCGGAGACTCCTTCACGGCTTGAACCACGTCCTCCAGACTGAAGGTCACACCCTCCTCCTGCAGCAGCGACAGCACCAGCTCACAGCGCCCCCAGCTGGGCAGGTCGTAGAGCGCAAGGAGGCGACGGCACGAGCGCTGGGGAGAGGGAGGCATCAGACACAACAGAGGGGAAGAGAGGAGAGACCAGAGAGGGAGACCAGAGAGAGAGTCCAGAGAGAGAGTCCAGAGAGAGAGTCCAGAGAGAGACCAGGGAGAGACCAGGAAGAGACCAGAGAGAGACCAGAGAGAGACCAGAGAGAGACCAGAGAGAGACCAGAGTGAATCACAATATAATAGACTACAGAAAGTTTTTCATCCAGGTGGAGCAGGGATGTCAAAGTCAAATACATCAGAGCCAAAAAAACGAATTTGCTACAAGCCGAGGGCCGCACTGGTTCAATGTTTATTAAAACATATTCAAATGTTGCATAAAACCTATTTGACCAAGACCTAACAGTGAACCGGATTTTATTTAATGATTAAATGGACAATCCAATACTTTCGTATGTCTCTGTGGTTCTAATACTAATCTAATCTCCAGCTCGTCTTTACTGCAGAGCATTTGTTATGTTTTGTTTCCCTTCATCTATAAATGTGTCCACACCTCAGGGAACCTGTCAGTCCTGTCACACCATCACAACAAGGTTAGGTCCGCACCTTGGAACTGAAATATCTGTTCTGGTAACTCTCTCTGGCCTCCCTAACATGAATACATCCCACTGCATATCCTGGCTCTTCACCTGTCGGTCTGGGTCTGTGTGGTCCACAGGAGGCTCAGTCTGTGTGGTCCAGATGCGCTGGTGGTAGGGCTCCAGTAGAGGGCGCTGCAGCAGAGACAGAGCTCCTTTCAGTTCTCCTCCGCTCTGTCGCAGAGCCTCCTCACAGCGACCCACGTCACGAAAGCCCAGGGCCTGGAGCTCCCGCAGCTGGAACCACAGAAGAAGTCACAAACAGTATCTCTGCCTCTACCGGCTCAGGACCAACGCTACAGCAGTAATTCATCTCAGTGTATTTGTGTATATCCCTACATCACAATAGCAGTTTACTTGACTTTACAAAGATGTCAATTTCCCAAAAGCATAATGCTCATGGACGGAGAGGCCCTCTCATGGACGGAGAGGCCCACAGTGAGAGGCCCTCTCATGGACGGAGAGGCCCACAGTGAGAGGCCCTCTCATGAACAGAGAGGCCCACAGTGAGAGGCCCTCTCATGAACGGAGAGGCCCACAGTGAGAGGCCCTCATGAACGGAGAGGCCCACAGTGAGAGGCCCTCATGAACGGAGAGGCCCACAGTGAGAGGCCCTCTCATGAACGGAGAGGCTGTGGATCCAGGACTGAGTTCTATGAACAAGCCACAAAAGTTTTCTTCTGACTTTAAATCAAGGTAACCGTCATGTTATGCACGCGGCACATGAGAAGGACACTATCAAAAAACATGTGCGAAACAGCACATGTATACAAATGACACGAGTCAAACACACAGAATCTGGAAAAGGATGTAATGAATATAAAATAGCTTCTTAGATAGACTGAAATTTTCACTTTTTCCCTTTTGGGTCAATTTCCTTTTTAATCTGCCAAGTCTAGAAAGAGGACGTTGCTCATTGCCTCTATGAAAAGGACTGGACCTCTGCCTTTAACACGCCCTCACACACGCCGTCTCTCCCTCTCTGGTGTCTCTCCCTCTCTGGTCTCTCTCCCTCTCTGGTCTCTCTCCCTCTCTGGTCTCTCTCCCTCTCTGGTCTCTCTCCCTCTCTGGTCTCTCTCCCTCTCTGGTCTCTCTCCCTCTCTGGTCTCTCTCCCTCTCTGGTCTCTCTCCCTCTCTGGTCTCTCTCTCCCTCTCTGGTCTCTCTCCCTCTCTGGTCTCTCTCCCTCTCTGGTCTCTCTCCCTCTCTGGTCTCTCTCCCTCTCTGGTCTCTCTCTCCCTCTCTGGTCTCTCTCCCTCTCTGGTCTCTCTCCCTCTCTGGTCTCCCCTCCTCTACAGCTGCATTCTACGGTGTATGCACGGCTTTTTGACAGCTGCAGCAGCATTGCAGATTACTTTTAGAACACATCACCCCTGCGATAAACCAGTGTACCATGTGTACCATGTGTACCATGTGTATGTAGTTACATGCGTGGTTCATGAACTCGGTCTCACCTTGTTCTGTCGGTCCTGCAGCAGTTTTCTCACGGCTGCCTCAGTGTCGCCCCCTGCTGACAGCCAGGACTGTTTGGCCTCTGCCCTGGACAGCTTCACCCCTCCCTCCCCCTCCTCCTGGGGTCGTGTCCCATGATGCTTTGCGGCGGTGGTTTGGACCGACGCCGCGATGGCACAGATCTCGTCCAGTAGGTGGGGCAGCTCCGACTCCAGCCAATCACACGGGTTTATGTTGCTCCCTCCGCACATGCTCAGAGCGGCATAGACCTCCTCCGGACTGAAGCCACGCCCCTCCGCCTCCTGCAGCGAGAAAAACACTTTTGACCAATCAGCTCTCAGCCAATCAGCTCTCAGCCAATCAGCTGTCAGCCCAAAGAATCAAATAGTGACTCTCAGGGATCTTTCTGACACCAAAGATAACATGTTTCTAATAAAAGGAAGACAGCATGTTGGGGTCTGATTTGTTCACATTTTACTGTTACAAGAGACCAGAGAAAGACCAGAGAGAGAGAGACCAGAGAGAGACCAGAGAGAGAGAGACCAGAGAGAGACCAGAGAAAGACCAGAGAAAGACCAGAGAGAGACCAGAGAGAGAGAGACCAGAGAGAGACCAGAGAGAGCCCAGAGAGAGACCAGAGAGCGATCAGAGAGCGATCAGAGAGGCTTAAGAATGTTGTAAGGATGTACTGTTAAAAGACGATCTCTGTTGGACAAACCTGTTATTCATGAAAAGAAAAAGTGAGGTACCTCGGCTTTAATGCTATAATAATGTAGTTTGCTGCCCCCTAGTGGTGTGTGTGTGCGTCTGCTCACTCTGATGTGTTTGATGAGGCTCAGTCCGTCCTCCATCAGTGCTTTCTGTCTCTGGGTTTCGGCCTGGAGGTCCAGTTTGGGTCTGGGCACCACAAAAGCCACAGGAGGCCCTGGAGTGCTCTTGGAGACCTGGCTCGTGAGCAGAGCTGCAGGCAGTGACACAGCGGCCCCTGGGTCCTTACATGACAGACTGCACATCTCACACATGGAGCCTGGTTTGGTGTTGACGTAGGTACAGAACTGACACATCCACTGGAAACAGGAGATACAGAACCTCAGACCTGCGGCCGTTTTTAGATCCATCCATGTCGCTTCTACAGCTCCTGTCTCAGTCCCATAACAGTATCACACTCAGAGCAGATTCATACTCCCTCTGGTGGCAGCGTAGGGAATTACAGGCGAAAAGCATTTTCTTTTTGTGTTTTTCTTTTTGATTAATTTTTTGCACCACATTTGATATTATCAAACAAATATAACATTGTCCATTTTGATCAAAATGCACAAAAATAATGAATGCAAGAGAAATTGAAGTTCCTGGCTTTTAAACAGTTTGTCTTTTTGACCTCTGTCACATCTTTAGATCAGCTTTTTCACTCAGAGAAGTGATAAAGAGAGAACCTCCCTCAGCCAATCAGCTCTCAGCCAATCAACTCTCAGCTCTTCCTTCCACAAACGATAACAGGTTTCCTGATTAGATGAAGCATGTTGTGGTCTGATTTGACTTTTGTGAGACACTTCCTGTTGAACCCAACCTGTAAGTAAGTAGTAGTAATCTTTATTTATATACCGCCTTTTCACTGCAGATCTGAGTCTCAAAGCGGTTTACAATTGTTAATTATGGGCATTTATCTCTCACTCCGCACAGAGATGGGAGCGGGGTCGCCGGTACAGGAGGCGCATGCCAGACATGCCTATTGGACATATTTTTAGTGGTAGGGGAAACCGGAGTACCCGGAGGAAACCTACGCAGACACGGGGAGAACATGCAAACTCCACTCAGAAAGGCCCTGGTCCGACCGGGATTCGAACCCAGTACCTTCTTGCTGAGAGGCGAGAGTGCTATCCACTCAGCCACCGTGCCGCCCGTATGTGGTATGTGGTGAAAAGTTAGGTTCTCCAGCTGCGGTGAAAAGTTAGGTTCTCCAGCTTTAATACTGATCGCACATTGTAAATGAATGTTCTTCTGGTCAGACCTTGGTGGGGGGCGGGGCCAGCGACTCAAACCCTGTGGTGGAGGTTTTCACTGGAGGTGCAGGAGGCTTGGTGGCCAGACGGGGGCGCTCACAGGCCTCACAGAGGACACTGCTGCCCGGGTTCAGCATGGTACAGCTACGACACTGCCACTCTATGGGACAGAGACCAGAGACATCAGAGAGAGAGACCAGAAAGAGAGACCAGAGGTATCAGAGAGAGAGACCAGAGAGAGAGACCAGAAAGAGAGACCAGAGGTATCAGAGAGAGAGAGCAGAGAGAGAGACCAGAGGGAGACCAGAGAGAGAGAGACCAGAGAGAGACCAGAGAGACACCAGACGTCAAACTGGTTTTCACACCTCTATCACATGCCTTGCTGTATATGATTCATTTGAACTGGGAGAGAGATCTGCTTTCACCAGTGCTTTGTAAACGTACTCATAGTCTGAATGTCCCTGACCTGCGGTGGGAGACTGCAGGGGATCCGGAGCAGCCGTAGGGGCCGGGGGCGCCGTGGACAGCCGAGGTCGGTCACACGTCACACACAGAACAGCTCTGAGCTCGTTCACAGTCGTGCAGTGACAACACTCCCAGGACGAGGCAGTCCTGGAACAGAAAACAAGAGTGAAACCAGATCAACCAGTCTGGATTTAATTATCATTATGATTAGTATTATTGTCACTTTTTTACTCTATTCGAGTTGTTTTCAGTCTCTCTCTCTCTCTCTGGTCTCTCTCTCTGGTCTCTCTCTCTGGTCTCTCTCTCTGGTCTCTCTCTCTGGTCTCTCTCTGGTCTCTCTCTCTGGTCTCTCTCTCTGGTCTCTCTCTCTGGTCTCTCTCCCTGGTCTCTCTCTCTGGTCTCTCTCTCTGGTCTCTCTCTGGTCTCTCTCTCTCTAGTCTCTCTCTCTCTAGTCTACAGTGCCTCCGGAAAATATTCACAGCGCTTCAGTTTTTTCACATTTTGTTATATTACAGCCTTATTCCAAAATGGATTCAATTAATTTTTTCCCCTCACAATTCTACACCAACACCCCATCATGACGACATGAAAAAAAGGTTTTTTGAGATTCTTGCAAATTGTTTAAAAATAAAAAAACTAAGAAACCACATGTACATAAGTATTCACAGCCTTTGCCATCCTGTTTCCACGGATCATCCTTGAGATGCTTCCACTGCTTCATTGGAGTCCACCTGTGGTAAATTCAGTTTATTTGACTTGATTTGGAAAGGCACACACCTGTATATACAGTGCCTTGCGAAAGTATTCGGCCCCCTTGAACCTTTCAACATTTCGCCACATTTCAGGCTTCAAACATAAAGATATAAAAATTTAATTTTTTGTCAAGAATCAACAACAAGTGTAACACAACCGTGAAGTGGAACGAAATTTATTGGATAATTTAAACTTTTTTAACAAATAAAAAACTGAAAAGTGGGGCGTGCAATATTATTCGGCCCCTTTGCGCTAATACTTTGTAGCGCCACCTTTTGCTGCAATTACAGCTGCAAGTCGCTTGGGGTATGTCTCTATCAGTTTTGCACATCGAGAGACTGGAATTCTTTCCCATTCTTCCTAGCAAAACAGCTCGAGCTCAGTGAGGTTGGATGGAGAGCGATTGTGAACAGCAGTCTTCAGCTCTTTCCACAGATTCTCAATTGGCTTCAGGTCTGGACTTTGACTTGGCCATTCTAACACCTGGATACGTCTATTTGTGAACCATTCCATTGTAGATTTGGCTTTATGTTTTGGATCATTGTCCTGTTGGAAGATAAATCTCCGTCCCAGTCTCAGGTCTTTTGCAGACTCCAACAGGTTTTCTTCCAGAATGGTCCTGTATTTGGCTCCATCCATCTTCCCATCAATTTTAGCCATCTTCCCTGTCCCTGCTGAAGAAAAGCAGGCCCAAAGCATGATGCTGCCACCACCATGTTTGACAGTGGGGATGGTGTGTTCAGGGTGATGAGCTGTGTTGCTTTTACGGAAAACATATCGTTTTGCATTGTGGCCAAAAAGTTCGATTTTGGTTTCATCTGACCAGAGCACCTTCTTCCACATGTTTGGTGTGTCTCCCAGGTGGCTTGTGGCAAACTTTAAACGAGACTTTTTATGGATATCTTTGAGAAATGGCTTTCTTCTTGCCACTCTTCCATAAAGGCCAGATTTGTGCAGTGCACGACTGATTGTTGTCCTATGGACAGACTCTCCCACCTCAGCTGTAGTTATCTGCAGTTCATCCAGAGTGATCATGGGCCTCTTGGCTGCATCTCTGATCAGTCTTCTCCTTGTTTGAGATGAAAGTTTGGAGGGACGGCCGGGTCTTGGTAGATTTGCAGTGGTCTGATACTCCTTCCATTTCAATATAATTGCTTGCACAGTGCTCCTTGAGATGTTTAAAGCTTGGGAAATCTTTTTGTATCCAAATCCAGCTTTAAACTTCTCCACAACAGTATCTCGGACCTGCCTGGTGTGTTCCTTTGTCTTCATGGTTCTCTCTGCGCTTTAAACAGAACCCTGAGACTATCAAAGAGCAGGTGCATTTATACGGAGACTTGATTACACACAGGTACATTCTATTTATCATCATCAGTCATTTAGGACAACATTGGATCATTCAAAGATCCTCACTGAACTTCTGGAGTGAGTTTTCTGCACTGAAAGTAAAGGGGCCGAATAATATTGCAAGCCCCACTTTTCAGTTTTTTATTTGTTAAAAAAGTTTAAATTATCCAATAAATTTTGTTCTACTTCACGATTGTGTCCCACTTGTTGTTGATTCATGACAAAAAACATTTTTTTATATCTTTCTGTTTGAAGCCTGAAATGTGGCGAAATGTTGAAAGGTTCAAGGGGGCCGAATACTTTCGCAAGGCACTGTATAAGGTCTCACCAAGCCAATACCATCCCTACAGTGAAGCATGGGGGTGGTAGCATCATGCTGTGGGGATGTTTTTCAGCGGCATGAACTAGGAGACTAGTCAAGATAGAGGAAAAGATGAATGCAGCAATGTACAGAGACATCTTGGATGAGAACCTGCTCCAGAGCTCTTGACCTCAGACTGGGGCAACGTTTCATCTTTCAGCAGGACAACGACCCTAAGCACAGCCAAGATAACAAAGAAGTGGCTTCAGGACAACTCTGTGAATGTCCTGGAGTGGCCCAGCCAGAGCCCAGACTTGAATCCAATTGAACATCTCTGGAGAGATCTGAAAATGTTTGTGCACCAACACTCCCCATCCAACTTGACGGAGCTTGAGAGGTCCTGCAAAGAGGAATGAGCAAAACTGCCCAAAGACAGGTGTGCCAAGCGTGTGGCATCATAGTCAAAAAGACTTGAGGCTGTAATTGCTCCAAAGGTGCATCAACAAAGTATTAAGCAAAGGCTGTGAATACTTATGTGCATGTGGTTTCTTAGTTTTTTTTATTTTTTATAAATTTGCAAGAATCTCAAAAAAACTTTGTTCATGTTGTCATTATGTCATTATGGGGTGTTGTGTGTAGAATTGTGAGGAAAAAAATGAATTGAATCAATTTTGGAATAAGGCTGTAAAATAATAAAATGTGGAAAAGTGAAGCGCTGTGAATATTTTCCGGATGCACTGTATCTCTCCCTCTGGTCTCTCTCTCTCTGGTCTCTGTGGTCGCTCTCTCTCTCTAGTCTATCTCTCTCTCTGGTCTCTCTCTCTCTCTCTCTGGTCTCTCTCTCTGGTCTCTCTCTCTGGTCTCTCTCTCTGGTCTCTCTCTCTCTGGTCTCTCTCACCGTGGGGTCAGCAGGCTGCGGTTGTGTCCCACTCTGTCCGGATGTGAGTGAAACAGACGGTCACACTTCTGGCACAGTTTCTGGCGACACGTGGAGCAGAGCGAGTGGACGAGTTCAACACCACAGATGGAGCAGGGGTCTGGACACGAGAGAGACCGGAGATCAGAGAGAGACCAGAGAGAGAGACCAGAGAGAGAGACCAGAGAGTGAGAGTTTCTTCATATATTTTCTCCTCTATATTTTTTCACGTTCTAAAATATAAAGACCATAAATGCTGCGTGTTTGACCTGGTTTGGCCTGGTGCAGGGCGTCCCTCTTGTGCGCGGCGCGGCCCGGGTGCCGATGGTACAGATCGTCACAGGCGTCACAGAAGTTCTGGTGGTTACAGGACGCACACACAAACATGGAGGCGGAGCCACAGAGGCTGCAGTCCGACACCACCGGGGGCGCTGTGGAGCACAGGAGTGGCATGGAGACATGAGGGGGTGTTGTGCCATATCCTGCACCCCTGTGTCATCAGTGCATCAGGGAGAACAAACTGGTGTCCACTTAAAGCTCAGGTTCCTAACTTTAGAGCCACACATGAGAGAGACCAGAGAGACCAGAGAGAGACCAGAGATCAGAGAGAGATCAGAGAAAGACCAGAGAGAGACCAGAGAGAGACCAGAGATCAGAGAGAGACCAGAGTGACAGGACCAGAGAGACGGACCAGAGACAGACCAGGGGGACGGACCAGAGACAGACCAGGGGGACGGACCAGTGTCAGTTACAGTTACTCAGTTACTCTGTGAAAGAGAACATGTAAGAGAAGACCTCATGTAGGGGTGGGCGATATGTTCAGCACTAGATCATATACGAAATCGGGACGGAAGCGGAAGTAAATATAACAAACTACCTATTTATGCCTAAACTTAACCAGCCATTACCATAAAATAACCCCAGCCCACCTTAACCCTAACCTTAACCATCTTACTCAGACCACCTTAACCCTAACCTTAACCATCTTACTCAGACCACCTTAACCCTAACCTTAACCATCTTAGTCAGACCACCTTAACCCTAACCTTAACCATCTTACTCAGACCACCTTAACCATCTTACTCAGACACCTAAAACTTTACCAGTCACCACTTAAGGACTTATTAGTCTAAAACTAATTTGAAAGTAGGATTGTTACTTCTGGTTTTGTCCCGATTCCGTACATGATCTAGTGCAGACCTGGGCGATATGGCCTAAAAATCATATTGCGGTATAATTTGGTGTGTGAATTTCAATGGGTTTAGCAGGTTCTTGCATAAAATAGTCAAGATTGTCACTTATTTATGTATAACTATCTAATAAATATACATGTTTCAGGTGTGTCCAGTCTCCACAAACAAAATCACCAGTATTTCATCCAGTATTTAACACATTTTCAGCATATAATATTATTCCATATTAAAGACACCATGCTTTTGAAATGCAGATTGAACTGAAGACCCTGTGGTTGGTGGGTAGGGCCAATAAGGGACACCATTTGGGTGGATCCGGTTGAGCACTTTTTAGTCCTAATTTCAATCTACACAAGAATCATGGAATTTCATAATCAGTTTATAGAACTAGTCAACTATTTATTGACTACATATTTTTAAAAAAATCCTTAGTCAAAAATGAAATTAGGGGTGTAGGGTGCAGACCTCTGGGCAGGGTCTTGATCCTCGGGGCTGGTTTGGGAGGGACTTTAGGAGACTGTTGGACCACCGGCTGCTCTCTCGGAGGGATCATCACAGCATCACACTCTGGCTCTGGGCTCTCCTCCTGTTCACAAACACACCATGAGAGAGAGACCAGAGAGACCAGAGAGAGACCAGAGGGAGAGACCAGAGAGAAACCAGAGGGAGAGACCAGAGAGAGAGACCAGAGAGAGACCAGAGAGAGAGACCAGAGAGAGACCAGAGAGAGAGACCAGAGAGAAACCAGAGAGAGACAAGAAAGAGACCAGAGAGGCCAGAGAGGGATCAGAGAGTGAGACCAGAAAGAGACCAGAGAGGCCAGAGAGGGATCAGAGAGTGAGACCAGAAAGAGACCAGAGAGAGACCAGAAAGAGAGACCAGAGAGAGAGACCAGAGAGAGACCAGAGAGAGAGACCAAAGAGAGACCAAAGAGAGGCCAGAGAGAGACCAGAGAGAGACCAAAGAGAGGCCAGAGAGAGAGACCAGGGTGAGACCAGAGAGAGACCAGAGAGAGACCAGAGTGTGTGTATACTGACCTGCTCTGGGACCAGAAAAGGACAGATGTGTCTGAAGTGCTCTGGATGAGGGTGAGTGCCCTGAGGAAACAACAAAATAAAAGAATAAACACCTCAGAGACACACACACCTCAGAAACACACACACACCTCAGAAACACACACACACCTCAGAGACACACACACACACCTAAGAAACACACACACACCTCAGAGACACACACACACCTCAGAGACACACACACACACCTAAGAAACACACACACACCTCAGAGACACACACACACACACACACACACCTCAGAGACACACAAACCTTGAGCAGCAGGTCGACCTCTGTGCGCAGTGTCATGACCTCCACTGTGACCGCGACCACCGTGCTGGTGTCGGGGTCGCACACGTGCTCGGGGAAGCTGAGGCCGTCGATCTGCTGCTGAGTGTAACCGTACAGATAGAGCACCGCACGCCCGCCCTGAGGACACACACACACACACACACTGAGGCTGTAGACCCAGGACTGAGGCTGTAGACCCAGGACTGAGGCTGTAGATCCAGGACTGAGGCTGTAGACCCAGGACTGAGGCTGTAGACCCAGGACTGAGGCTGTAGACCCAGGACTGAGGCTGTAGACCCAGGACTGAGGCTGTAGACCCAGGACTAAGGCTGTAGACCCAGGACTAACCTTGATGGCGTCCACGGTGGTCCGGAACACCGGGTTGTTGTGCTTCACGGTCCTCCAGTACTTGGGTCTGGTGGGACTGGTCAGGTTGCAGCCGTACTTCTCCAGGATCCCCAAGGCCTTGGACAGACGCACCAAAGACTCCAGCACCTGAGACACGACAGGAACAAAAGTGAGACTCTCTGGTCTCTCGCTCTCTGGTCTCTCGCTCTCTGGTCTCTCGCTCTCTGGTCTCTCGCTCTCTGGTCTCTCGCTCTCTGGTCTCTCGCTCTCTGGTCTCTCGCTCTCTGGTCTCTCGCTCTCTGGTCTCTCGCTCTCTGGTCTCTCGCTCTCTGGTCTCTCTCTCTCTGGTCTCTCTCTCTCTGGTCTCTCTCTCTCTGGTCTCTCTCTCTCTCTGGTCTCTCTCTCTGGTCTCCCTCTCTGGTCTCTCTCTCTCTGGTCTCTCACTCTGGTCTCTCACTCTGGTCTCTCTCCTTATGATGTGCAGACTAACCTCTTGGTGGCTCTTTCCCTCAGTGTTCTCTCTCAACATGGCGCCCGCTCGGAGGTGCACATACTTCTGAGACAGCGGCGCAGACAGACGGGCCAAATGCTGCACGTCTGCTCTGGCATCCTGCGCTTGACCCGTTTTCAGGAGAGAGACCTGGGCCCGCTGGCGAACCTCCTCCATCTGCAGAGAGAAGAGAGACATCAACCATCCAGACCAGAGAGAGAGACCAGAGAGAGAGACCAGAGAGAGAGACCAGAGAGAGACCAGAGAGAGAGACCAGAGAGAAACCAGAGAGAGACCAGAGAGACAGACCAAAGAGAGAGACTAGAGAGAGAGCTAATAAGAGAAAACTAATAAGACTGATTAGCTTTTCTCTTTTTCACTTTTCTGTCTGAATAATCTGATGTAAAGATGTGACAGAGACAGAGACAGTTTTAGAGCCAGGAAATAGAAGTTTGTTACGTAACGCTATAGTAAAGTTTCGTAGTTTGAAAGTTCCGTATCCCAGCTTTACTTTAAAGTTTTCTCGGTCCTTTACGTTACAAATCCCGTTACTGTACAAACCGTGACACTTGTTTGAGGGTTCAGGCAGAAGGACAAACTTGTTGCCATTAATAAGAGTTGAAATCGAAACTAAACTAGTGTCACGGCTAAAGCTAAAGTCAAATATTTTTCTTTATTTTGTTAATTATTCTCACCGTGATCTGAGCTGCTCCGCTGTGTTCTGTTCGTTTGAAACACGGTCAACGAGAAATACTTGGTTTAAAGTCGGATTTCAGACCGTGTTGTCATTTATGCCAACCCGGAAGTGAGCGTAGAGACGGTGACTTTCACAATAAAAGCTCCCTACAAAATAATACAACATTTACAAACATGGATCGATTTTTCTTCGAACCAAACGACATTTAATGATGCCTCTTAATAATAAACAGTAATGCTATTAATTTTCACATTAATGCACCTCTGTCACGTCTTTAGATCTGCTTTTTCAGACGGAAACGAGAAGAAGAGAGGAGCGCCATCTCTCAGCCCAAAGAGTCAAATAGGGACTCAAAGGGGTATATATGTTTTTCGATAAGATTATGTCTGATTCGTTCACAAGATGTTAAAGCCTCTTTCTGTTGTACAAACTGCGTGAGTTTATGTAACTAATGTAAGTGTAATGTTGTTATGAAAAATGTTCTTCCTCAAACTCAAATGAAACATACCCGAGCTTTAACTTGTTGTTGTTGTTGTTGTGGGCGTGGCCGTGTGATCTTCCTCCAATGAGACGGGAGTGGGCGTGGTCACATCTGACTAAGGAAATTAAACCACTGTGATCTGATCGCACGGACTATAGTTTGATTACTATTCTTTTCTCTAAAACTGTTCCTAAAACGTCGCTCTCTCGCACTTCTCTGCAGCCATGACGAAAACCAACGCGTTGAGAATCAGCAGCGACAGTCAGAAGAAGGTGAGAGAGTGAGATACAGGTGGGAGCATCTGAACCAGAACTGGACCAGAACTGGACCCGGAAACATCGACCTTAACATATTTGCAAAGTGTGATGCTGTGGTTGTGTGTTATTGTGTTGTTTTGTTGTGTTGTCTGCAGTGGAAAGTCCCTCTGTCAGAAGTGAAAGTGAAGCCATTACATGAGTCAGCACAGAGCCTTTCATTTATCTTTATTTCCGGTTTTATTTTTCAGGTGGACGACTTCCGCCAACAGCTGTTCAGCGACGTAACAACTCACATAACTTTGCACTCTCTCTCTCTGGTCTCTCTCAAGTCTCTCTCTGGTGTCTCTCTCTGGTGTCTGTCTCTGGTCTCTCTCTCTTTGGTCCCTCTTTGGTCTCCCTCTCTGGTCTCCCTCTCTGGTCTCCCTCTCTGGTCTCCCTCTCTGGTCTCCCTCTCTGGTCTCTCTTTCTGGTCTCTCTCTCTGGTCTCTCTCTCTGGTCTCTCTCTCTGGTCTCCCTCTGGTGTCTGTCTCTGGTCTTTCTCTGGTTTCTGTCTAGTCTTTTCTGATCATATAAGTCATGTGATCACGTGCTCTCACCTCAGACTTGGGGGTTTTTCTCTTTCTCGTTGCTTCTGTAGAAACAGTGAGTCTTTGTTTGAACCTGTTTTTGTTTTTTCAGATCCAGACTTTGTTCTGTGATGTCATTCCACAGAAGATTGTGGCTCTAGACGCTCTGCTCCAGGTCTGAGCGGGATTCGAACCCATGGGTTTAGAACGATTCTAAAGTGTCTTTGTTTTAGGACAAAGCCTTCACCGACATCTCAGCAGTCAAGGCTCCTCTGGACATCCCAGTCCCAGACCCGCCCACAGAGGTGAGAGTACAGAGGAGAGAGTACACAGGGAGTACACACTCTGTGACTCTTTCTTGTTGACCAAAGAGAGTTGTCTCTCTGGTCTCTCCCTGGTCTCTCTCTGGTCTCTCTCTTTCTGATCTCTCTCTCTGGTCTCTTTCTGATCTCTCTCTCTGGTCTCTTTCTGATCTCTCTCTTTCTGGTCTCTCTCTTTCTGGTCTCTCTCTCTCTGGTCTCTCTCTCTGGTCTCTCTCTCTGGTCTCTCTCTCTCTGGTCTCTCTCTGGTCTCTCTCTCTCTGGTCTCTCTCTCTGGTCTCTCTCTCTCTGGTCTCTCTCTCTCTGGTCTCTCTCTCTCTGGTCTCTCTCTCTCTGGTCTCTCTCTCTCTGGTCTCTGGTCTCTCTCTCTCTGGTCTCTCTCTCTCTGGTGGCTTCTAACCTGTTTTGTTTTTCTCTCTCAGGAAATGGAAACAGACAAACCGAATGAGAAGAAGAAAGCTGGTGAGTGTAGCTGAGTATTTCCCGACACATAATTCCTAAATGTACGAAGTGTTTTTCCACAGCTCCAAAGTGCGGCTTCATCGCTTCCAACGAGAGGATCTCAGACTTGCTGCGATTGGTCAAACCAGAGATCTGTGCGTTCAGGGAGACGGCGGCGCTCGTAAGAACACGTGTGTTTGGGTCACGTGAAAAAACAGAACTAACTCTGACTCTGCAGGTCACATGTTGGATCCACCACCTCATCCCCAGAATAGAGGACGGCAACGACTTTGGAGTGGCTATTCAGGTAAGCTAGCTACTACTGCTGCTACTGCTGCTACTGCTGCTACTGGTACTACTACTACTACTACTCAGAGGTCTCCCATCACAGTACAAACCAGACCCTGTCCTGCTTAGGTTTTACTACTGTTGTGTTTAAATCAGACATGTTATCTTTTGCGTGAGACAGAGTCCTTTGAGTCACTATTTGACTCTTTGGGCTGAGAGCCGATTGGCTGAGAGCTGATTGGCTGAGAGCTGATTGGCTGAGAGAGGGTGGTCGTCTGTTTCACTTTTCTCGTGAATGAAGAAACTGTTTTAGAGCCAGAGTTCTATTGTAGTGATTTGAAATCTCAGCTTTGACACATATTTGCAGATTCACTGGAGCTTTTTTTGATTTTGTTTTTAGGAGAAAATCCTGGAGAGAATCGCTGCTGTTCAAAAGAAGATGGACGAGCAGCTGCCCAACATCAACAAGTGAGTTTGGAAGTGGACGGAGTGTGACATCACCACAGTGTGACATCACCACAGTGTGACATCACCACAGTGTGACATCACCACAGTGTGACATCACCACAGTGTGACATCACCACAGTGTGACATCACCAGAGGATCACAGAGTAAACCATGTGGTCCATCTGAGTCTTATTGAAGTCTCGTGTGTGTGTTCAGGTATTTGACGGAGAGAGGAGACGCCGTGGCCAAAGCCTCCAAAGAAACTCATGTGGTGAGAGAAGTCTGTTCTGAAGCAGTGTTTCCCAAACTGTGGTCCACAAGCTTCTCTATTGACATCCAGGCGAATAATATAGTCCAGTTCAATCATGTATTAATATATTTTCAACACAATGCTGTCCATACACTGGTGCCTGGTGTGTTGCAGGGGTTATGTGTTCTAAACTAAACCATCACGTTTTTTATTCAGGACATTATTTCAGTCAAACTAATGTTTGTTCTAAATAAACTCTTTCTGCAGATGAACTATCGCTCTCTGGTGCATGAGAAGGACCTGGACATGTTCCACGAGGCCAGAGTGATCCTCCTGGACCTGCGCGGACTCTACGTACGTCACACACAGACCGTACACACACGGACTCTACACACACGGACTGAACACACATGAACAGCGGGTTAGCATTGTTAGCATTGTCAATCTGTTTACAGTCTATGGTTAAATTACAAAGGATTTAACATTGAACATGTTGGAAAGAGGCCAATCTTTTGTAACAGTCACAAGATGAGACTCGATCTGTAACGCAGGCATCAGTCTGTACACTTTAATGTCTAGTTCATGTCTTAATAATCCATGTATATTTAAGTCTTGTCACATGAATTTGTAACATGAAAAACTAATCGGACCACAACATTCCATCTTTTGGGTAAGAAAGATCCCTGTGAGTCACTATTTACTCCTTGGGCTGACAGCTGATTGGCTAAGAACTGTGTTCTTGAAAACTAGTGATAGAAGCAGATGGATTTTAACTGAGTTCTGTTGTGGTTTGAGAGTTACGTACCCCAGCTTTAATCATGAATAAACCTGATGGTACTTTTGCCCAAACACCACAAGATGGCGCTGAAACCTGATCTTCCCATGACTCTTTTTCCTTTCTCATCCAGACTGAATTTTACGACGTCGTTAACAAAAACATGGACAAAGTAACGAACCCCAAAGGAGAAGAGAAGCCGTCCATGTACTGAGCCGGGTCCGGAACATTCCATAAGGAGGTTTTAACCCGGAAAAGATCATCATGGGTCAAAGTTCACTGTGACAAAAATTCTAAGATTGAATAATAAAACCACTGGAAGAATTGGCTTGATTTTCTTACAAATGTTTTACTGTTGAATTATAGGCTCTGAAATGTGTAAAAACAAGTGCTGACTGTGGATGAAAAGGTTTTTGTTTAAAATGTGAGCTCTGTACTTCTTTGTACATCTATAACACGATTCACCTTCAGTTTCATTGATAATATACATCCATGATTCTAAACAAGCCCCTGGTCTCAGATATCCATTCCAATCAATAGCAACAGTGTACTTGGCTTTTGACAGCTGCAGCAGCACTTTCACACTTTAGGAAGCGGTGAGTTCAGGTGTTAGAAAAGAGTGATGGTTTTTAGACTTAAAACAGCTGCTATTTACCCCTGTGATAAACCCACACCACCATAGACCAGGGGCCACGGATGTCTGCCCTTCCTGTGGTGCTCATTGGCACCTGCTCGCTCCATGGACATCCCAAACACTGAAGTGTTGTTCTGGTCAGCTCTGGTTCTCCTGGTCTAGTGCAGAAGGTGTGTGGTTCTACTTCCACAGAACCAGAGGGACATGTGAGCGTTCTGACCAATCAGAGTGAAGCGAGACGATGGACTTCAGAAGAAAACTACCCTCTACATGATGTCATACACCCACGTCTTTCAAATCGTCTTTATTCCAAAACCAAAAGTGCCTTTCAACATTTGCCTTTTTTTAAACGTAACAAAAATATTTCCAACAGTAAAAAACAAAAGGATTTACATGATTAAAGAAAGAACAGGTCAGACTTCAGGCCCTTCTCCTCCAGGAATGAGCTGCACAGAAGAAGACCAGGGTTAGATTAATTATTTATAAACAAATAAGACAGACACAGCGGCCCTCACAACACTGAGTGATGTGTGCGTGTCTGTTACCATGGTGATGTTGTTTCCATTCAGGAGGATCTGGTCGAGTTTTGTTATTCTGCGTCCCTCTGGTGTGATCTCACTGGAAAAACACAAATCATCATTTAAAAAGTTCACATTAAAAAGGTCTGAGGCTTAAGTTACATCGTTAAAAACACGTTCGTGATTTGGTCAAAACAAGACCTTTTTAGTGTTTGTTCGTTACAAGGAAAAGAATATATGTGAAGTCAGCCCTGGGTCCTCGGGTCTGGGTCCTCGGGTCTGGGTCCTCGGGTCTGGGTCCTCTGCCTTCATGTTGTGAAATGTCCGAGTCCGTCAGTAACACATTGTGAAGTTCTCTACACAGATGAATACTTACAATTCCGTCACATCCTCCAGCACCATGTCTGACAAAAGAGTGAAGGACTAAAGTGAGATCTAAGATCCTCTCACACGCACCTGAACACGTCTCTCACACGCAGCTGAACACGTCTCTCACACGCACCTGAACACGTCTCTCACACGCACCTGAACACGTCTCTCACACGCACCGTAACACGTCTCTCACACGCACCGTAACACGTCTCTCACACGCACCGTAACACGTCTCTCACACGCACCTGAACACGTCTCTCACACGCACCTGAACACGTCTCACACGCACCTGAACACGTCTCTCGCACGCAGCTGAACACGTCTCTCGCACGCAGCTGAACACGTCTCTCGCACGCAGCTGAACACGTCTCTCGTACGCACCTGAACACGTCTCTCACACGCACCTGAACACGTCTCTCACACGCACCTGAACACGTCTCTCGCACGCAGCTGAACACGTCTCTCGCACGCACTTGAACACGTCTCTCACACGCACTTGAACACGTCTCTCACACGCAGCTGAACACGTCTCTCGCACGCAGCTGAACACGTCTCTCGCACGCACTTGAACACGTCTCTCGCACTCACCTGAACACGTCTCTCACACGCACCCTAACACGTCTCTTGCACGCACCGTAACACACGTCCCTCGCACTCACCTGAACACGTCTCTCGCACTCACCTGAACACGTCTCTCGCACTCACCTGAACACGTCTCTCGCACGCACCTGAACACGTCTCTCACACGCACCTAACACGTCTCTCGCACGCACCTGAACACGTCTCTCGCACGCACCTGAACACGTCTCTTGCACGCACCTGAACACGTCTCTCACACGCACCTGAACACGTCTCTCACACGCACCGTAACACGTCTCTCACACGCACCTGAACACGTCTCTCACACGCACCTGAACACGTCTCTCACACGCACCGTAACACGTCTCTCTCACGCACCTGAACACGTCTCTCCCACGCACCTGAACACGTCTCTCACACGCACCTGAACACGTCTCTCACACACACCGTAACACGTCTCCTCACACGCACCGTAACACGTCTCTCACACGCACCTGAACACGTCTCTCACACGCACCTGAACACGTCTCTCACACGCACCTGAACACGTCTCTCACACGCACCTGAACACGTCTCTCACACGCACCTGAACACGTCTCTCACACGCACCTGAACACGTCTCTCACACGCACCTGAACACGTCTCTCACACGCACCTGAATACGTCTCTCGCACGCACCTGAACACGTCTCTCGCACGCACCTGAACACGTCTCTCACACGCACCTGAACACGTCTCTCACACTCACCTGAACACGTCTCTCACACGCACCTGAACACGTCTCTTGTACGCACCTGAACACGTCTCTCACACGCACCTGAACACGTCTCTCGCACTCACCTGAACACGTCTCTTGTACGCACCTGAACACGTCTCTCACACGCACCGTAACACGTCTCTCACACGCACCTGAACACGTCTCTCACACGCAGCTGAACACGTCTCTCGTACGCACCTGAACACGTCTCTCACACGCACCTGAACACGTCTCTCACACGCACCGTAACACGTCTCTCACACGCACCTGAACACGTCTCTCACACGCACCTGAACACGTCTCTCACACGCACCTGAACACGTCTCTCACACGCACCTGAACACGTCTCTCACACGCACCTGAACACGTCTCTCACACGCACCTGAATACGTCTCTCGCACGCACCTGAACACGTCTCTCGCACGCACCTGAACACGTCTCTCACACGCACCTGAACACGTCTCTCACACTCACCTGAACACGTCTCTCACACGCACCTGAACACGTCTCTTGTACGCACCTGAACACGTCTCTCACACGCACCTGAACACGTCTCTCGCACTCACCTGAACACGTCTCTTGTACGCACCTGAACACGTCTCTCACACGCACCGTAACACGTCTCTCACACGCACCTGAACACGTCTCTCACACGCAGCTGAACACGTCTCTCGTACGCACCTGAACACGTCTCTCACACGCACCTGAACACGTCTCTCACACGCACCGTAACACGTCTCTCACACGCACCTGAACACGTCTCTCACACGCACCTGAACACGTCTCCAGAGGGATAGGGTGAGTGAGATCATAACACGACTGTTCTCACTGACTCTGGTCTCTTAGAATCGAGGCTCACAGCAGATTTATTCAGACTGGCTTTAACACTATAACACTCATCAGCACAGGGACTAATGTAAACTCAGTGATACCACTTTGATTACTACAGATTACCCTTTAGACAATCAGCTGATTACTTTAAAAACGAGATAATGAAAAGTAGTATGTTTTTGTTGGGCACAAAGGATACTGACAAAATCATCGAACCCCAACAGGGTCCCGACGATCTCTTTGTCCGTTTTCATCACGATGTGAATCCTGGAACCGATGCATTTGTCCACCAGCTCTGAAAATACACAGTTAGATTAAAGCTGGTATACCCAACTTACAAAACACAAATGATGGAAACATGTAATAATACCCATGTCTGGAGCTCATGGCTCTTTAAGAGTTTGCTTCTATCACTAGTTTTAACATGAATATGTTTGGGCTCTGTCATATCTTTGACGGAGGGGCAGGAGAAGCTAAAGTCACCTCCTTCATGGACACCTCCCACTGCACAGAACTGAGGAGGAGCTCCTTCAGTGGAAGGAGCAGCACGGCCTTTATCCCCACCGCTATCAGACTGTACAATAAGTCACTACTGCACTAGGGCTAAGGAACCAGCTGCTATTGGCGCTTTTTTTAGTAAATAATTATATCCTGCAGACTTTAACCTTCAACATGTTAACACACCTCTGCCTTTTCCACAATCTGAATGATTTTATTTTAATGAAACTCTTTTTTATTGTTTTCAGTTGTCTGCAGCCATCACTGTGTGCAGCCGGTTAGCATAGACCCAGGGTTAGCCCGCGTGTGGCTAACCCTGATAGCAAACACTGCGACGTGAGAGCATCATGTGTGTCTTGTTACTCTGAGTAAATACTGGGGGGTTTCTCTCAGTAAATGAGAATAAAGAGTTCAATTTAGTTACAAACCGAGCGGCAGCAGCTGAGACGGGTTCGTGGTCGCCATCTTTGAAATGCGTAAAGATGGAGACGCGAGCAATCGAGTGAGGAGCAATCAGACAGAAGATCCATGGACAGAAGTAATCAAAAGAAGAGCAAAGAGACGAAAAGTAGCAAGTGGACTCGCTCCAGCTCTGACTTACAAAAATAAACTGAACTGAACTCACAACTTTGCGCCCAAAATGAGTGATACACAAACGGTTACTGTGCCAATGAAATAATAATAATAATTCGTCAGATAGAAGTAGATCTAGTTTTGTCCCGTTTTAAATTATATATATATATATATATATATATATATATATATATATATATTACATTTATACTTACCATAGACTGTAAATATCAACATTTACATTAAACGACTTCTTATTTTGACATATTGATAAATGAGAGAAAACGATCTATTGGAACAATCGCCTCCAGCATGATCTGCTGTAGAGACCAGTTTTGTCCATAGACTGCACTGTTGTCCCAGTTTATTCATTACTAGATTCTAGGTAATGTGATGTCATCATAGACTGTATATATTAATGTCATCAATCACAACCAGGAAGTCAAATATATATCTAAAAATGTGGTCAAATTGGGATAATATCTGTATTAAAAAAATACTATCGGCTACTATCAAAAATCTTAAAAGTAACGATGTCAACTGTGTTTTGGAAGATTTGATCCTGTCACACGCACTTTACCAAAACAGAGTCGAGACGAACCCGGAAGTGCGCTGACAGCTGCTGTTTCTCTGACGCAGAGAGGCGGAAATGAGCCGTGAGTCTCTTGTTTCCATTCACCCGCTGTAGCTGCATCATTCTGGGGGTAAAACACCTCCTCTCCCCGGCCTCAGCCACCATCACATCACCAGAGGACTTTAACCAACTCGGACTGTTGCAAAGTGCAGATATTGGCGATGGAGACGAAGGAGAAAGACAAGGGGCCAGTGCTGCACATAGTCGTGGTTGGATTCCACCACAAAAAAGGCTGTCAGGTGAGAATACAGGCTATTCAAGGCAGAATATGAAAACTACTGCTCATATTTGCATGTTATGAGCTTATTTTGTTGCACACTATTGCTGCAAATGAAGTGTTTTGGCGCAGGAGTGAGAGGTTGTTTTCCTGCATGTCTTATTCAGTGTTGTGGTTCACATCAGCTGGCTCATGGCTTGTCAGCGTTGCATAACATTTTGGCTGTCTGTGATCCCGTCCCTCCAGTTCAATGTGTGTGCAAAATCGGTCTGTTTCATGACAAGACAGCTGCTTCTTCTTCAGACTGTGTATAGCCCAGAGAAAAGTTAAAATAGTGATGCTTTGCCCCAGTTTCCAGACCGCAGCTGATCGCTTCCTGTGTCAAAGCGAGTGGATAGTTTCAGAGTAAAACTGTGGATGAGAAATTATGGATGAGGAACATGCCATAGTCTATTATAATGGGATTCCCTCTGGTCTCTCTCTCTGGTCTCTCTCTATGGTCTCTCTCTATGGTCTCTCTCTCGTCTCTCTCTATGGTCTCTCTGGTCTCTCTCTCTGGTCTCTCTATGGTCTCTCTCTGGTCTCTCTGGTCTCTCTGGTCTCTCTGGTCTCTCTCTCTGGTCTCTCTCTATGGTCTCTCTCTATGGTCTCTCTCTCGTCTCTCTCTATGGTCTCTCTGGTCTCTCTCTCTGGTCTCTCTCTGGTCTCTCTCTGGTCTCTCTCTATGGTCTCTCTCTATGGTCTCTCTCTCGTCTCTCTCTATGGTCTCTCTGGTCTCTCTCTCTGGTCTCTCTCTGGTCTCTCTCTGGTCTCTCTCTCTGTCCGGGATGCACTGGGCTGTGACTTTAGAAACCCCCCTTTTGACCCGGCTCAGCACAGCATTTCAACACGGGTAAAACAAACAAACATCTACAGAGTCAGTCACTGACATCAGTGTGAATGTCTCTGTTCACAAAGGGGAAACTAGATGCAATTGTGTTGGTCTGGTCCTGGTCTGGTCCTGGTCTGGTCCTGGTCTGGTCCTGGTCTGGTCCTGCTCTGGTCCTGGTCTGGTCCTGCTCTGGTCCTGCTCTGGTCCTGCTCTGGTCCTGCTCTGGTCCTGCTCTGGTCCTGGTCTCACACCTGTTCATTATGGAAAGTGGTTGAAGCTCTTTTCACTCAGCACATGTCTCCACAGAACCCCAGGGACCTTCATGAGTCTCTGGCTCCTGAGGATCAGGTCTCTGGCTCCTGTTTCAGTAAACAGAGCTGTTTCATTGTGAATGAAACCAGTTGGACAGTGGAATACTTAAATAAGAATAAATACTGTTTTTTTCTATTATTGTGTCCTCGGCGTCTGTGCAGTGGTGTTATATACATTTCTAATACACCTGCATTTGTTTTGTTTACATCCAGAAACATAAAGATTTATATATTTTGATTTGTGTATGGAAAGTTCACACACATGTACCAGGCATGAAGTGAAAGAAAAATGCATGATTATGTTTTAATTCAAATTTAGAAACATGAAAAGTGGGGTCTGCACAAGTCTTCTTACAGTCTTTAAAACATTCCTAATGAAGCTGAATGTTCACTTCTTGCCCTAACCCTGAGTGTGATCTCCCATTGGTGTAAAGCTGTTCTATGAGGCCTCAGTGGAATGGCCTGAGTGTATCTATCAGTAAACTGCATCAGGAAGTCCAAGGAGTCACACCAGAGAGCACTATCCCCACAGTCAAATATGGGGGTGGTAGCATCATGCTATGGGACTACTTTTCTTCAGCATGGACAAGGAAGAGTGTCAGAGTTGATGGGAAACTAACTGGTTTAGCACTCTCTGTGTATTAAGTATTGACCAATCAGAAGCCTTTATTCACGGTGGCTGAGTGGATAGCACTCTCGCCTCTCAGCAAGAAGGTCCTGGGTTCGAATCCCGGTTGGACCAGGGCCTTTCTGAGTGGAGTTTGCATGTTCTCCCCGTGTCTGCGTAGGTTTCCTCCGGGTGCTCCGGTTTCCCCTACCACTAAAAATATGTACAATAGGTCTGGCATGTGCCTCCTGTACTGGCACCCCCAACCCCAAAAATAACAATTGTAAACCGCTTTGAGACTCCGATGTGCAGTGAAAAGGCGGTATATAAATAAAGATTACTTACTTACTACTTACTACTACTACTACTTACTTACCATAGCAACTGTATTAGCAACACGTCTGCCCCTGTTACGGCGCTAACGGCATCAGGACAATGCTCATGTAAGAAATTTGGCACCAGCTAGCTCATGTTGAAATGGACTTCATCCTAACAGACACTCTTCTCTCACAGAGGGATCTAACGTGTTTTCCTCTGTTGCATGTTTCCGCAGGTGGAGTTCTCGTACCCGCCGCTGGTCCCTGATGCTGAGCACGACAGTGGGCTGATCCCGGAGCAGTGGAAGTATCTCCCGTTCCTCGCTCTGCCGGACGGAGCACATAACTACCAGGAGGGTGAGAGCCAAAACTGTTCTGCGTTGACTACTATTTTTATACAGTGTCCCTGGTTTATCGCGAGGGTGATATGTTCTAAAAATAACCCACGAAAAGTGAAATCCTTGAAGTAGCAGCGTGTGTTTCAAGGCTGTAAAAACTCCTCACACACACTTTTCTAACCACCTGAAGTGTAAAAACTATTATTGTATCTAAATGACTGTTAAAAGACCAGGTCGCAAGGCGGGTTAAAGGCCCAGTCGTTCTGACACACCAGCCCGTGTCTCTTACAGTGAGGAAGAGGCGACCTGAGGTTTTGATCATGTTTTTATCAATGGACAGTGTGTGTTTCTTTGCCTAGTTTGGTGTTTCCTGTCTTCTGCCTCACAGCGCCCCCTCAGGTCGAGCACATTCATTCCACTCCTCTGAGGTGGAGTGAATTTGTCTTAAATTGACCTAAAATACAGTCCCTGAAACCCTGGACCACAGAGAGTCCTGATTCTGGGTGTGTCGGAGCCTGTTTCTCCAGTTTCAAACCAGTCTGACAAAGGTGTCAATACAAACTCATACTCACAAAATGCTGAAAACTGCATTTCCAAATGTTCAGGAGGGATTGGAACCCATTAAAACTGCCACTAGTAATTTTGTAACGTAATCTAGATAATTCCTCTGAACATGAAATGATTATCACGAGCAGATGAGTGTGAGAAGTTCTCACTGTGGTCCTCAAACCAGGAGCCTTTAATAAACAGAACAGGCTTAATGGGTCTGAACATGTGGACAGGGCTGTTTGTGCATGGATGGGTCTAAACACAGCTGCAGGTCTGTTAGTGATGACGGCAGGACATGGAGAGAAGCTGAATAAAGTAGTGCTGCATTTAAACGTCTGTGTATATGTTTTTATTATTACTTATACTTATTATATACAGTAAGTTTATATGATTCTATATGTTTTTACTTGTTTCTATGTGTGTTGTATACAGTATGTTTACATATGTTTCTATGTGTGTTGTATACAGTATGTTTACATATGTTTCTATGTGTGTTGTATACAGTATGTTTACATATGTTTCTATGTGTGTTTGTATGTTTGCAGACACAGTGTTCTTCCACCTCCCTCCTCTCGATGTGGAGCAGAAGTGCGTCTACGGCGTCTCCTGTTATCGACAAATAGAAGCAAAGGTGTGTTTCCTGCTTCTACATCACTGACGTCTGTAAACATGCTTAAAACATGCTTAAAACACCTTTACAGCGTGTTTAATGTGTTTCAGGCCCTGAAGGTGCGACAGGCTGACGTCACCAGAGAAACTGTGCAGAAGAGTGTGTGTGTCCTCAGCAGAGTGGTGAGCACACACACATGGATACTTGTTATTTACATTGTTTAGGCTTTATATATTTAAATATATATTAAATCTGACATAGTTACAGCAAAAGATGGAACTGATGCGACAGAGTTAAAGCTAATTCTCTTGTTCCTGAGCTTCTCCCTACAGTACACATTATACATACACATTATACATACACATTATACATACACATTATACATACACATTATACATACACATTATACATACACATTATACATACACATTATACATACACATTATACATACACATTATACATACACATTATACATATACATTAGACATACACATTATACATATACATTATACATACACATTATACATACACATTATACATATACATTAGACATATACATTAGACATACACATTAGACATATACATTATACATACACATTATACATATATATTATACATATACATTAGACATATACATTATACATACACATTATACATATATATTATACATATACATTAGACATATACATTATACATACACATCATACATATACATTATACATACACATTAGACATATACATTATACATACACATTATTCATACACATTATACATACACATTATACATATACATTAGACATATACATTATACATACACATTAGACATATACATTATACATACACATTATACATATACATTATACATACACATTATACATACACATCATACATATACATTATACATCTACATTATACATACACATTATACATACACATTATACATATACATTAGACATATACATTATACATACACATTAGACATATACATTATACATACACATTATTCATACACATTATACATACACATTATACATATACATTAGACATATACATTATACATACACATTATACATATAGATTATACATATACATTATACAGTACAGCAAAGGGAGGTTTCATTATATTACATTATACAGTACACATATACATTATACAGTACACATATATGTACATTATACAGTACACGTATACGTACATTATACAGTACACGTATACGTACATTATACAGTACACATATACATTATACATACACATATACGTACATTATACAGTACATATTTACATTATACATTAGGGATGGGTACCTAAGGGTACCTCACGATACGATACAAAGCTCACGATAACGATATTATCACGATAACGATATTATCACGATAACGATATTATCACGATATGACAACTATCTATATATTGGTCAGAAATATACAATATGCCAATTTATGGCATGTATAAAAGAAAAAATAACTTTATTTCATGATAAATCGAATGGAGATGGGTAATGTTGCCATATATTAAGCATTGATACCAATTTAAAATATATATATAGATTTTTTTCTTAAATCGATATCGATACTTGGCAAATGCATATCGATAATCGAATCGCGGGAGAAAGTATCGTAATACACCCCTATTATACATACACAAATACATTATACTGTACACATATACATTATACACTATACATATATGATAATGTCTGTCTTTCTGTGTGTGTCTGTGTCTGTCTGTGTGTGTGTGTGTCTGTCTGTGTCTGTGTCTGTGTGTGTGTGTGTCTGTGTCTGTGTGTGTGTGTGTCTGCGTCTGTGTCTGTGTCTGTGTCTGTGTCTGTGTGTGTGTGTGTGTGTGTGTGTGTGTGTGTGTAGCCTCTGTACGGTCTGCTTCAGGCCAAACTACAGCTCATCACTCACGCCTACTTCGAGGAGAAGGACTTCTCCCAGATCTCCATCCTCAAGGTTTGGATCATTTTTAGGCTGCGGTCTAGACCTTGTTCAACCTGGACTAACCTGGTTCAACCTGGACTAAACTGGTTCAACCTGGACTAAACTGGTTCAACCTGGACTAACCTGGTGTGTGTGTGTGCTTCTGTGTCTGTGTGTGTGTGTCTCCGTGTGTGTGTCTGCATGCATCTGTGTCACTGTGTGTGTGTGTGTGTGTCTCTGTGTGTGTTTCTCTGTTTGTGTGTGTGTCTGCGTGTGTGTGTCTCTATGTGTGTGTCTCTGTGTGTGTGTTTCCAGGAGCTTTATGAACACATGAACGGCTCTCTGGGAGGTTCTCTGGACGGCTCTCAGGTGCATCTGGGTAAAACATTTTTCATCTTCAGAAACCTTAAAGGAGTTCTCAGTGTCAGACCTGCAGCTGCTTTTAGATCCATCCACGCTCATATCTGGAACTTATGCACAAACATGTAGCTCCGCCCCTTTTCTGCCTCAGTTCTGTTATAGTGTGATTCATTGTACCACTACGTGACTAAGCACTCAGAGCAGGTTTATGACTGAGAGAGAGACCAGAGAGACAGACCAGAGAGACAGACCAGAGAGAGACAGACCAGAGAGAGACAGACCAGAGAGAGAGACCAGAGAGAGAGACCAGAGAGAGAGACCAGAGAGAGAGACCAGAGAGAGAGACCAGAGAGAGAGACCAGAGAGAGACAGACCAGAGAGAGACAGACCAGAGAGAGACAGACCAGAGAGAGAGACCAGAGAGACAGACCAGAGAGAGACAGACCAGAGAGAGACAGACCAGAGAGAGACAGACCAGAGAGAGACAGACCAGAGAGAGACAGACCAGAGAGAGAGACCAGAGAGAGAGACCAGAGAGAGAGACCAGAGAGAGAGATCAGAGAGACCAGAGAGAGAGACCAGAGGGAGAGAGACCAGAGGGAGAGAGACCAGAGGGAGAGAGACCAGAGGGGGAGAGAGACCAGAGGGGGAGAGAGACCAGAGGGGGAGAGAGACCAGAGGGGGAGAGAGACCAGAGGGGGAGAGAGACCAGAGGGAGAGAGAGACCAGAGGGAGAGAGAGACCAGAGAGAGCGAGAGACCAGAGAGAGCGAGAGACCAGAGAGAGAGAGACCAGAGAGTGCAACTATAACAAAATATATGTTCTACTCTTTTTCTAAATACTTTTTAACAATAATAATCTATATTTATGTCACAAGTCTTCTTTCCATTTTGTTTTTCAGGTTTATCGCCGAGAGATTTAATTTTGCAATTTCAACACAAGGTACGAAGTGGTTAAATGTAAATGTTGAATAAAGTCTGAGTGTGAGGTTTGTGTGCAGGTGCTGGTCCTGTTCAAGCTGCTGCTCCTGGAGAAGAAGGTGAGGTTGCGAGTTTGATCCCAGTGAAGACTGTAGTGCTGTAACAGTGTTTGCAGGTGCTGTTCTTCGGCTCTCCTGTGCACAGGCTGGTGGGACACCTCATGACGCTACTATCCATGTTCCCGGGTAAGACGCACTAAACCTGCATTATTATTGTAGATTAGTATTTCTATCTCACTCTGGTCTCCCTCTGGTCTCTCTCTGGTCTCTCTCTGGTCCCTCTCTGGTCTCTCTCTGGTCCCTCTCTGGTCCCTCTCTGGTCTGTCTCTGGTCCCTCTCTGGTCCCTCTCTGGTCTGTCTGGTCTCTCTCTCTGGTCTCTCTCTGGTCCCTCTCTGGTCTCTCTCTGGTCCCTCTCTAGTCCCTCTCTGGTCTGTCTGGTCTCTCTCTGGTCCCTCTCTAGTCTCTCTCTGGTCTGTCTGGTCTCTCTCTCTAGTCTCTCTCTGGTCTGTCTGGTCTCTCTCTCTGGTCTCTCTCTGGTCTCTCTCTGGTCTCTCTCTGGTCTCTCTCTGGTCCCTCTCTGGTCCCTCTCTGGTCTGTCTGGTCTCTCTCTCTGGTCTCTCTCTGGTCCCTCTCTGGTCTCTCTCTGGTCCCTCTCTAGTCCCTCTCTGGTCTGTCTGGTCTCTCTCTGGTCCCTCTCTAGTCTCTCTCTGGTCTGTCTGGTCTCTCTCTCTAGTCTCTCTCTGGTCTGTCTGGTCTCTCTCTCTGGTCTCTCTCTGGTCTCTCTCTGGTCTCTCTCTGGTCTCTCTCTGGTCTCTCTCTGGTCCCTCTCTGGTCCCTCTCTGGTCCCTCTCTGGTCCCTCTCTGGTCCCTCTCTAGTCTCTCTCTGGTCTCTCTCTGGTCCTGGTTGCACTGCGCTTTGACTTTTGAAGTCTTATTTTGAAGGTGTATTTATGAAGTAACTAAATAAGTTTGTAAAGTAAGTTTATTTTGACACATTTCTGTCAAAGCTCACACGGGTCCAAACAACACGCCAACATTTCCCACTGTTGTCCCAGGTCAACTCAGCAGCTGTGTCTGTGTGTGTGTCTGTGTGTCTGTATCTGTGTCTATGTGTGTCTCTGTGTGTGTGTATCCGTGTGTGTAGGTCTGGTGGAGCATGGCCTGGTGGACTCCTCCCACTACAGACCAAGGAGCAGTGTTTCTGAAAACCCGACTGGATCAGAGGAGTTTGTGTCTGTGTCTGTCACTGACCTCACAGAGGAGGCAGCCAATCACAGCCAGCCGTCACCCCCAGGAGCCAATCACAGCCAGCCGTCACCCTCAGGAGCCAATGGGGAGAGCAGCGGAGGTACTCCCACTGGAGAAATGTTTTAAGTGGACCATTCTGAGCGTTTTGTTTGGTTTGGCAGATCACCTCCTCAGGCCTCCTTCTCGAGCCTCTCCGGACTCCTCAGAGAGCGACTGGGAAACTCTAGACCCCAGTGTCTTAGACCAGACCTTAGACCAGAGTGTAGACCAGAGTGTAGACCCGGTTCAGACCCCAGAGCCCTTCGAGTCTCCGTCCGGGACCCCCATCACGTCCCAGCCGCTGGGTGGAGCTGGGGGGGTGTGTCAGGGGCTGGTGTCGGGGCTGGAGGAGGACCAGTACGGACTGCCTCTGGCCATCTTCACTAAGGTACAGCATAAGTTTAATCACACCTAAAGCTGGGGTCTGTAACTTTCAGACCACAATAGAACTCTGTAATGAACCCATGTTTAAAGTTTCTGTGTGTGTGTCTGCGTGTGTGTGTGCGTGCGTGTGTGTGCGTGCGCGTGCGTGCGTGCGTGTGTGTAGGGGTACCTGTGTCTCCCCTACATGGCGCTGCAGCAGCACCACCTTCTCTCTGATGTCTCCGTCAGAGGTTTTGTTGCCGGAGCAACAAACATCCTGTTCAGACAACAGCGACATCTGAGCGACGTGGTGGTCGAGGTGAGAGATTGGGACCTAGGACTGAGGCTGTAGATCCAGGACTGAGCGCTCTGTAGAACCAGGACTGAGCGCTCTGTAGATCCAGGACTGAGCGCTCTGTAGATCCAGGACTGAGCGCTCTGTAGATCCAGGACTGAGCGCTCTGTAGAACCAGGACTGAGCGCTCTGTAGAACCAGGACTGAGCGCTCTGTAGAACCAGGACTGAGCGCTCTGTAGAACCAGGATTGAGACTGTGGACAATGTGGACGTTGCAGGTGGAGGAGCCTCGGATCCAGACCCAGGACCTGGACCTCCGCAGGGCTCTGGTCTTGACCACAGCCGACCTGCGCTTCGCCGACTACCTCCTGAAACATGTGACGGAGAACAGGGACGACGTGTTCCTGGACGGGACGGGCTGGGAGGGCGGGGACGAGTGGATCAGGGCCCAGTTCACCCTCTACCTGCACTCACTGCTGGCTTCAGCTCTGCACCAGGGTAAGACCTACTACTACTACTGCTGCTGCTGCTGCTACTGCTACTGCTGCTGCTGCTGCTGCTACTGCTGCTGCTACTACTACTGCTGCTGCTGAATGAAAGCCTCTCTGATGTATGAGTATGTGCCCAGTGTGGGAGCAGCTCCAGGTGCACAGTCTGGTTACAGGTGTGTAATGAAATGGTGTTGTTTGCAGACAGTGAGCGCCTCCTGGTGGACTACGGCGCCCCCTTCATCACCGCCTGGAAAATGAGCCACAACTATAGAGTTTGGAAAAGCAACAGTCACTCAGGGATGAGCCACATCACTGCAGGGTACGGAACACACTGTGTCTCATTATTGTTCATGATGCACGCATCCTCTCTCTCTGGTCTCTTCTCTGGTCTCTCTCTGGTCTCTCTCTGGTCTCTCTCTCTGGTCTGAGAGAATAACTCCAGTGTGTGTTGCAGACATCCGTTCCAGGGACAGTACAGTGTGGCGGATGTCAAACTCCGGCTCTCTCAGTGAGTATTCTTAGTATTCCACTCTTACTGCATGAGTTCAGGATGGTCCCTCAGTCGTGTCAGATTTGCAGATGATCACAGACCAGGCCAATGACTGCTCAGTGTGGGAGGCCTCTCTGACCTGCACCTCCTGTAACCGTCCACAATAGTTGACCCTGGGTCTGACTACTACTGACTCCATACAAATGGACAATGCTAACCCGCTAGCTCAATGAAGCCTAATAGGGAAGTGCTCATGGTGAAGTTTGGCTCTGGCTTCCATTGACTCACATGTAACTGTCTCTGTGATGTGTTTATCGTGATATTGTCTTTGTGAATCCAGATGTGTAGGGGGTTCAACTGTGGAACTACCAGACAGACTCGTTCTCACCTGTAAATGAGATTCTTTAACATGAATTGTAGCTTCTGCACAAAAACCCCTGTGAACATTGTCCGTCCAATGTTATTATGTCCATATTAAATAAAATAACAAACTGACTAATCAGGGGCCTTTTGTTGCTAAATGTAAGTAAGTAAGTAATGTTTATTTATGTAGCGCATTACAGACCAAGGTCACCTAAAGCGCTTTACAATGTTCAGAGTTCAGATAAATGTCTTTTTATTTTTATTTTAGGAAGGGGGTTATTTAATTTGTTGTTTCAACAAAAACAAGAAATTAAATAACCGTGGACATTTTTTGATGTCCACGTCAAAAACAAAAATAGAATGACCAGAACGTACACGGACCCGCGGCTTTGTTCCGTTTTACATTTTACCCACTCCTGCTCTAATCAGACCAGGGTGAGAGAGACCAGGGTGAGAGGGGGTCAAGGGTGAGACCATAGATTTTATTGTAGACAGACACCTGAGGGTGTGCCCAGTGTTGGAGCCAGTCCTGGGATCTGACTCTTAATAACGTGTGTGATGTATTTTCAGCTCGGTGCAGAACAGTGAGCGTGGGAAGAAGATCGGGAACGCCATGATGACCACGAGCCGCAGTGTGGTGCAGACGGGAAAGGCTGTGGGTAAGGGGAACATCTTAGTTACTTCAGAGTCAGTACTTTAGCCGCTGAGTGGTGTTTCCTGTTGTAGGTCAGTCTTTAGAAGGCGCTCTGACCAGTGCCAAATCCGCCATGACGTCCTGGTTCTCCACGTTGGCCACGCCCACCCCCATCACGCACCTATCAGAGGTGGCGACAGAAGCGCCGCAGTGACACCTCAAAGACTGAAGAACCTGTTCAGGACAAAGGGACTTTTACTGAACGTTCATATGAAGAGGCACATTTTTATTGTTTTAGAAACAGATTTATGGAAGAACTGATCTTTGATGTGTTTAGGATCATGTAAAACTTTACTTTTAAACTGTTTTTGTTTTCCTCTTTTTGTAAAGTCCCAGTTCTGGACTCTGAAGCTGAGGTCTGTAGTTTGGGCCTCTGACTCTCAATGCAATGCAATGCAATGTAATGCTTCATTACAAGTGGTCCCAGTCTGTCCGAGGAAGATGTGCCTCCTGTGGCCCTATAGTTTGGGCCTCTCATTACAAGTGACCTGGGTATTTCCCTAAGATAGATTGAGGAGCTCAGAGTAGAGCTGCTGCTCCTTCACATGCAGAGCAGCCAGTTGAGGTGGCTGTTTGAGATGCCTCCTGGAGGAGTCCTGGACATGCCCCACCAGGAGGAGCCCAGGGACAGTGTATCAGCTGGGACCGTCTCAGGATTTCCCCAGATGAGCTGGAATTGTGGAGAGGGAGGTCTGCTCAGACTGCTGCCCCCGGGACCCGGCAACGGAGAAAGTGGAAGAAAATGGAATTGAGCGGAACGTATTTATTAGAAACCAGGAGTCTATGTAAAACACATGCATTCTAAAGTTTCATTTCCGTTATTTTTAATAAAAAAAAACTGATTTCTACAACTACTTACTGCACTTCTGTCAGGAATGACCACTAGGGGGAGCCACTGTGTAGCTGTTCATCTGGTCAAGTTCACATAGAAGTTTATATAAAGATGTCCGGTCAGTCCTGGTCCATGCAGAGAACAGTAACTATAACAGTGTTAAGACTATTTTAATAACACAATATTAATAACAAATAACAAACGGTTTTTGACATTATTTAAACCTTAATCATTTACATTATTCCTTTGAGTTCAAATAAATTAGATCTTGCTATTATAATGAGACCAGAGAGACCAGACCAGAGAGGGAGAGACCAGAGGGAGAGACCAGAGAGAGAGGGAGACGAGAGAGCTCCAGATCCAGTTTCCGTGGTTACATAAACAGTGCCTCCTAGGCCAGAGCAGGTTATGGTGAGTCTGTTCTACATCATTAAATTAGACTGAAGGAGAGATCTGGTCGTAAAGGTCTCATATGGTGCCGTTCACGGGACATGTCAGCTCTGTGATCTTGCCGTTGAGCTTCTGATTGGTCCAGTCGCGGGTGATGTCATCGAGGTGCGAGTCAAAGTCCACCAGGGTCATGTGATCACCGGAGTCCAGCAGCTGAGACGCCACGGCCCGAGTCTCCTCCCACTGACGCATCATGATCCTGCACACAGGGACAACCAGGACCAGGGACATGTTTTTGTTGAATCTGTATAATTATCGTTAATTACAGACCCACCATCTCTAAAACCGTTCAATTCCATCACTAGTTTTCACATGTTTTAGACCACCCTCACTCAGCCAATCAGCTCTCAGCCCAAAGAGTCCATTAGTGACTCACAGGGCTCTTCAGAGGAAAAGGTGTTTGATCTGATGTATTCTCTTTGCCCCTTGACAAAGCCGTGTGTTGAAACAGTGAGAACGTTCTGCGTCTTACGTGTGCTTGTCTTTGAGCGTCCACCTCGAGTCCTTCCGTTCGTAAACGACGATGGGAGGAACTCTGTAATCTGCCGACATCTTACTGCCGTCGAGCTGAAGCAACAGAGACCAAAGCAGGGTTTAGATCCACAACCTTCCACATCAAATCTGATCACATCCCATTTACAGTCAGTGCCTTCATCCCTGTAGGTGTGCCTCAAGGTTCAACACTCTGCCCCTCTTTATTTTCACTAGATTTGAATGATCTGCTTCTGACCGATGCAAGCGTCGATTTTAGTTTGAGGGGGCGTGGTCACAACATAACAGCTGATAAGTGGCTGAGTGGTTAGCACCCTCACTTCTCACAATGTCCTGTGTATGAATCCTGATCAGACCTCTGGTGAATTTAAATATTTTAGTGAGCTTGATTTAATTCTAAGGTTTAAAATGTTAAAAAAATGCGGTAAACATTATTTTAGACAAATGCTGTCGTTAACTCACCATCAACAACACGGCTCCGTCAAACTGTTCAGAAATCTTATCTGCGATCTTCAGAGCGCACGGAGTCGGGCTGAGCAGAAAGACCAGGTTAAGTTTGGGACAGAAGAACATGTTCACAAAGAAGGTTATGGTTTATGACAGGGGTGATGTGTTCTACAAATAACACACAATAAGTGAAACCCTTGAAGTAGCAGCTGTGTGTTTTAAGGCTGTAAAACCAGAGAGAGAGACCAGAGAGAGAGACCAGAGAGAGACCAGAGAGAGAGACCAGAGAGACCAGAGAGACCAGAGAGAGAGACCAGAGAGAGACCAGAGAGAGAGACCAGAGAGAGAGACCAGAGAGAGAGACCAGAGAGAGAGACCAGAGAGAGACCAGAGAGAGACCAGAGAGAGAGACCAGAGAGAGACCAGAGAGAGAGACCAGAGAGAGAGACCAGAGAGAAAGACCAGAGAGAGAGAGAGACCAGAGAGAGAGACCTGAGAGGAATCAGGTTTTATGGGTTTACATGAGTCCTGTTCAGAGATGAATAATTGTGGCTTCTGGATGGGATTGGCCACGGCCCTTTGTACCTGCTGTCAGATGCACAGGCGTTGGCTTGATAATATCCCACAATCCTTTGCTGTGTCTGCGAACACCAAACATCCACCTGCAGCAGAAGGTTCATCCATTAGTTCTGTGTCACTTGCTGTGTCCTTAGGCAAGACACTTTACCCGCGTTGCCTAGAATAACTCTGGTGTGTGAGTGAATGGCTGGTGGTGGTCAGAGGGGCTGATGGCACAGACTGGTGGCCGCACTTCTGTCCTCAAGGCAGCTGTGGCTATAGTAGTTTATCACCACTGTGTTTAATGACATGTGAAGCGACTTTGAGTGTTATTAATATGATCATTTGGGTTATCAGTTTATGTGGGGAAACGTTGCTGGTTTTGGCCACCCACACACAAAATTCTGGCTAAACTACAGCAGGTGGATTGCATCAGTGATCAGAGTTGTGCTTCACCTGTGTGAGAGCGAGCTGGGTGATGGGAGCCAGAGACAGGTGGGAGTGCAGCAGGGGCACACAGTCAGTGACACACACAGCGCCCCCAGTGGTGGCAGAGGAGAGCAGCAGGCCGTTCACGCTGCATCTTGGGAACAGAGCCGAGTGGAGATACATCTTGACATAGGCCTGACACGACAGCTCCACCTCCCCCATGGTCAGCAGGACTCTGGGAATCTTCAGGATCAGAGCAGACGAATGTGAGGGTCAGCAGGACTCTGGGAATCTTCAGGATCAGAGCAGACGAATGTGAGGGTCAGCAGGACTCTGGGAATCTTCAGGATCAGAGCAGACGAATGTGAGGGTCAGCAGGACTCTGGGAAGCTTCAGGATCAGAGCAGACGAATGTGAGGGTCAGCAGGACTCTGGGAAGCTTCAGGATCAGAGCAGACGAATGTGAGGGTCAGCAGGACTCTGGGAAGCTTCAGGATCAGAGCAGACGAATTTGAGACGTTTATGGTAATACACTGGTCCCTGGTTCATCACAGACATATGTTTTAAAACACAGCTGCAGAGGTCATGTATATATCATGTGTTCATAACCTGAATAAACCAAAAAAAAAATCTTTATAAGAGACAAACAGAGTAATCCAGTCAAGCTGGGGTGCCTAACATGTTACCCCATAAATAACACTAAATAAATGGTTTGTCCAATCTAACCACAACATCCTTTGGGCTGAGAGCTCACTCAATATTTGTCTCTGTCACATCTTTAGGTCAGCTTCATCCAGTAGAAAAGAGACCCATCCTCTCTCAGCCAATCAGCTCTCAGTCCAAAGCGTCAAACAATGACTCACAGGGCTCTTTCTTACGCAAAAAACATTTAACAGCACGTCACAAAAACTACTGGATTTGGCCACACATAGTTTTACACATATTTGGCCACTACATTTCTAGTCAATAATTGTTGCAATAATTTTATCCAGTCTTTTGTATACACATAAAATCATATTTGTTTATTATTTAAAGTCACACGTTACTGTATGCATTTGTATAATATAGATATAGATAGCACATATCTGCCGAAAACACAGAACGGGCTGTTAGCACTGTTAGCATTAGCCTCTTAGCATCAGTGAAATAAATCCAAAGGAAAACTCACCGTACACAGGCAGAGAGCAGGTTTCTCTCAGAGGAACAGCCCACAGCACAGACCAGAGGGAAGCACAAGCTCATTTGAGATTAAAAATATTTAACGCAGAAACATCGATGCTAAGCTAAGCTAACGGTGAGAGGAGGGCGACCAGCTGTGTGCGTTTGTGGCTGCAGTGCCCCTCGTGGCCTGAGGGTGCTACTTCTTCTTCTTCTTCATTTATTTCCGGCAGGCTGTACACTATAGAAGTGTAATGCTGCCCTCTTCCGTTCAGGTTGATACTACATTACACTCGTTGGAGAGAAGGAAGGATACAACTGCTTTGTCGATCAAACGCGAATTCTTTACCGAGGAAAATATAGATTTTATTGAAAATACTGCTAATCCAAGATCTGACAGCTGCTTGTACATAATCTGCCTTTCTGTTGAGTATAGAGCACAAAACAATAACACATGAGGCACCGTTTCAGGTTGACCACACTGACATAATCCATCACGATGCTTGCCAATGATTTCCAAATATGCTGCTAGCCCACAATGCCCCAGCCTCAATCTAACAATCTTTACCTGATTTGCCCGGCTAGATATCCACACAGGCCTAATATTTTGCACCAGAGGCTGAGAATTAAAATAATGCCTCCCCCTTTTCTCTTTCTCCCACACTTTTTGCCACTGTTTTTGCACAAAACTTTTTATGATACTTATACACTCTAATTTTCCCAAACAGATTGTATACTCTATTTCCTCACACAGAAGAGACTGCTTAGCCAGTGTATCAGCTCTCTCATTCCCCACTATACCTGAATGAGATGGGATCCAGCAAAATACTACACTAGATCCCCTTGCTTCAAGCCGACGGAGGCAACACAAAATCTCCAAGATTATATCGGCTCGGGCCCCAGACAGGCCAGCAGATATAGCCTGTAAAGCAGACATTGAATCTGAGTAAACATAAGAGGATTCAAAATTATTCCTCTCTACGCAATCAAGAGCCCACCAGATGGCTAGAAACTCAGTTCTGAACATAGATACTTGATCTGACACACGCATACTCTTACTAATTTCATTATTAATCACGTAAACTCCAAAACCGGCCCTTCCCGAGCCTGGATCCTTTGACCCATCTGTAAAAATATGATACAACTGATCCTTTTTAAACTCCACAAAATCATTTATTTGGGCACTAGCTCGGCTCTTGTCCATTCCCACCAGATCCAGCCAGACTTCAGGCTCTGGTAAAAGCCAGAATGGAGCTGGGGACCACCCTAGTCCAACCACACTTCCATTCTCCAAACCCACGTTGCTAGCCATCTGACAGACGGATCTTAAGAATGTGGCTTTATCTTCCCTCTTTTCAAACTCCCAACAGTCTTCCAGGAGGCACTTGGCTGCTGAGTTGAGCTTGAAACCAGCTAGTCTAACCCAATACTAGAGACCCAATTTTTGCCTCCTAAGATTCAGAGGAGTCTCCCCCATCTTTTTATATGGGATTGTTTCTAAAGCTACCCTCATAATCAGAGCTGAAAGTGAATCACTCATTTAATCTATAGATCCATCACTATTCACTTCACCCAACCCTGCATTGGTGCCCTCCCTAAACCTGCCCCAGTCTGTCCGAGTGAAGTCTAATCTGAGTGATCTGTCCAACCTCTCTATCACTAGAGTTTTGTCAAAGGTAGTCACTACTGGAAAATGATCACTACCCAACGTATAATCCAGAACTCTCCATTCAGCTATCCTGGCTAATGCCGGACACGTAAAGGTGAGATCAAGACAAGCTGTCTTATTTGTGTGAATATTGATCCGTGTAGGGGAACCCTTATTCAACATTATAAGATTCTCTCTATCCAGAAGCTCCTCGATTACCAAACCGTTCACATCCCTTTCCTGGCTTCCCCACAAAGGGTTATTATGGGCATTAAAATCCCCCACCCAGACAACTGAGGAACCAGTACAGCCCGCAATCCGTTCAAACTCTGTCAAGGCTAATGGTTTGCACGGGTTATAACAATTTACTATAAACACTTTCCCCCCAGTGCTCCACACTTCTGTGATTAAACATTCCAGAGAGACATCACAATCACACCGCCTGTTTTACCCTACTGATGATGTGTTGTTGCAATAGTAATCCTGCTAATTTGTTAAGGTAGGGGACCTTAACAAATGTGGCACATCCACCCTCACTCCTTTCACCTCGATCCTCACGCAAGCAGTCATAACCTGGAATTAAAAAATCAAGACACGGCTTCAGCCAAGTTTCCTGCACGCACAACACATCAGGCTTAACATCAAAATCCCACAAACTTCTTAAACTCTTGACCATTCGCAATAAGACTCCTGGCATTCCATTGCAGAATGCAGACCATTAGGAATTGGCAAAAATGTTTATGAGAACACCCTCGTCCATGGCACTAGCCCCTCCCCCTCCTTCACTGTCTGCCCAATCTCCTCCAGAAGACTGGCTAGACATCACTGGCGACTCGAGACCCTCCTTCATAAAATTGAACAGTGATTGGGGAGCAAAGTCCTTAAAGCCCAAGAATCTGGCAGCAGACTCAACAACACACTTAATCAAATCAGATCTTGAAAACTTACTTTGAGTCCCATGAACAACATCTACAATAAAGGCAAGGAGAGACTCCTTACTGACAGTAATCAACTCCTGATTTGAAGAAAGACTCCTATTTCAACTTTTCTCATGTAATAAAGAAACCGTACCTGTCTAATCTTACCAACAACAAAACTTAAATATGGGACTGAAGCTGGTTTCCTGGAATATCTCAGGTTGCAACCACCCAATTAAACGTAAGAAAATTCTGAACTATCTCAAACAAAGTAAATGTGATATAGCATTATTACAAGAAACGCATTTGGATAAAAAAGAATCAGAAAAGTTGAAACAAAGCTGGGTCGGTCAGGTATTTTCAAGTGTCTATAATACAAAAAGTAGGGGGGTCGCAATCCTACTGCACAAAAATTCTGAGTTTCAAGTGTTGGGGAGCTATACAGACACAGAGGGTAGATGGGTTGCCATTGACACATTATTAAATAAACAAAAAATAACCATCATGAACATTTATGCCCCTAATGTCTTTTCGCCAAATTTCTTTAATAATATATGTAAAACACTGAAAGACATTGGCAATGAAAAGATTTTACTAGGAGGAGATTTCAACCGGGTCAGAGATCCTACGCTGGATAAAACCAGTGGCATGAAAAACATATCCTCCTGCAGTGCGATAGATATAATGACAGAAGAACTTAACTTGACTGACATATGGCGCTTACTTAACCCAATAGAAAAAGACACATTTTTCTCTCATTGTCACCAATCATTCTCTAGAATAGACTATATATTGATAACTAAAAACATGGTGAATCAAATCTTAGCTGCTACAATTGGAAACATATCACTATCTGATCACGCACCAGTGGATATATCATTTAAAGTAGATGAGTGTGAAATTAAAAGTTTTCGCTGGTGTTTTAATAATTCATTACTGCAGGAGAATACATCATGCCAGTTCATAAAATCTGCGATGGACGAATACTGGACATATAACGAAGACTACCCTGACCCTCACATCTCCTGGGAGGCCTTTAAAGTGGTTCTAAGAGGTAGAATTATTCAACATTGTTCAATCCTTAAAAAAAAAGAACAGGAGCAATTACTACATTTTGAGAAACAACTGAAAGAATTGACTCTACAATATACAAAACAAGAAGATGCTAATATATGGAAAAAAATTATCTCACTCAAGTTTAAAATCAATTGCATAATCCAGAAAAAAGTAGAGCTAGACCTTTTCCGGTCAAAGCAAAAAAATTACGAACAAGGGGAGAGGGCGGGCAAACTGCTCGCTAGTAGAGTTAAACAGCAGGCAGCACAGAATACTATTCCATCCATACTTAATACTGAGGACATACCGGTCACTGATAAAAGGGAGATCAACAATGTTTTCTACAGATTTTATAAGTCACTTTGTACATCACAAGGAGATGTGGAAAGATGTCAATATGATATATTCTTTGACTCCCTAGATATACCACAACTCTCTGAAAC